CAGGGCGGTTTTAACATTTGTTTATTGATATGTTGGTGTGCACACGTTGACAATTTTGTGACTGAACTGCTTGTATAACAATTGAAATAAAGCTTAGGGCACTAGGATTTACATGATTGTGTCACCATTGAGCATCTCTGTTCAGAAAGTAGATTCTGCGCTTTAGCTGAAATACATTTCCAAGGGCTGAAGTTGCAGGCCCAAGAAAATAGCCACCCATATTGACTAGTACCCATATATATTAAACAAAATAGTTTGCGCTGGAAATCCTTTTTGAAGAAGTCCAGACGAGACGAAACGCGTCAAGGGATTCCTCTCCTACGTATCCGGTGATTCTACTATTTGAGTGTCCTTTACACTTAAATGTTTTGAACCATCTAATATCCTGTAAGTGTGAACCTTCTTGTGTTCAATAAATTTAACAACTACACTTAACTACACTTAGGATTCTTTTTCTCCTTTTCCTTCCCTCTATATTATACTGTCTGATCCCGCTATCTATTTCACCTGGTGGGCTGGCTCAGCCACCACTACAGCGGCGAATGACTGGTTAATTGTGGAAGAGAAGCAACCATCAACTTACTGCAGCAGCTCCGTGCCGGAGCATAGAAACATTCAGACTGCAGCCTCACTACTGTTACTATTTTTGCTTTCCTGAATCCAACTAACATTTCCAATAACAGAGAAGTAGACTATAGATGAGACTCTGTTTGTAATCCATATACATTTTATCTTTATGTTTTTTCTTTTTATGCCTCTCGTTTAGAACGGTTATGGTTTGAGTGGCTCCGCTCCACTGACATCGATTTGTTGTTTCCCATTATCGTTTATCGTTTTTTGTCGGAAAACATATATTTTTTCCTTTTGAGTTAAGGATTTATTCATCTTTCACCTTGAGTGGCTCCGCTCCACTACCGCAGATTGCTTGTATATGATTACATCTTTCAAATATGATGGACAACTTGTAGTTCCGCTCTAGATCACCATCTCACTGTTTTATTGTCTGGCACAATAATTCATAGGTAGATTTCACTTAGACGGCAGTCCACAATCCATTTTTTTGCACAATTTCACTGTGCGCCTTTGGGTTCACAGTTTGTACTAGACACGGCTATTTAGCACTTTTTGATACTTTTCAAGTCACTTCCGCTTAAAAGCCATCACTCAGTTTTTTCACATACTTTATTAGCATTTGTGATCACATATCCACATTTAGTATATACACATTAGTTTTTATATAGATTGTGTTCATTTAATTGTATTATCACCTTTCACCACATCGACTTATATAAACTATTGTTTTGATGATATATCACGGACAAACCAAATAGATTTTGAACCGAGCGCAACACACAAGCCTTCCATAGTACCCATATAGGAGTTGTATTAATTTACTAATAAAATGTACTTTTCATGCGTACACACCACCAATATGGCTCTTTTAGGAAGTGTTCGGAAGCGCGGGCGGACTTGGCACCCACAACGCGACCTTGGTTCACACCTTGGTGACTCCAGACGGCGTGGCAATCTGCGCAGAATCGTGCACGATTGCCCCATGGTGAGGTGTCGCCTAGGTGTGAACATGGCCTCAAGCTGTCTGTAGACTGGTAGACTTTCACAAAAATGTTCATATGAAAAGTCTAGTTAGAAAATCCGATAATGCCGTCAGACTTGACAAATGTCCTTGGACGTTTTGTTTGACTTTAACTTTTGATTTTAGAATAAATTTAATTTCTCAACAAAAAACCACACTCACTGGCAGTATTTTATTAGTTTGAGAAATACATTTTAATGTTTTTATGTTTTTTTTCTGTCACTGCAGTCGAAATCTCTCCTTTGTTTGACCCCATTAACTATTAGAAAATAGAATGATCGTTCTTAAAACAGCATTTTGAAACAAAATTCTTCTGGTGTATGGCCAGCTTAAGGGAAATGGGTATATCTACCAAATGATTTGTTTCCAACCTCAAGGAGAGTTTTTTTAATCGCTTGGGAAAGTTTTTTTGAAACCTCCATCTATGAGGCAGTATCTCCGCTCTAAAGCAAACTAGCCATCTGAAATATGACTTTTGTGTTTTTTAATATTGCAGTTGTACAACCCCGGTTGAAGTGACTAAAAACATGGGGCAGGGCATCATTGAACAATTTAAAGTAATTTTACCTTCATTTTTCTTATCTGCTTCTCTTAGGCCTGGTTCACATCTGGGCGTTTTACAGCGCTGATCGACGCGTTGTAAAACGCTCAGCATGTGAAAACCAATAATTGCCTATGGGCAGGGTTCCCACTTGGGCGTATTTCAGTGCATAGGAACGCGCTGAAAAACGCCCTACGCCTAAAGAAGTACAAGAGCTTCTTTGAGGGTGTATTTTCCGCGCGTATCCATTATGATACAGCCGGATAGCAAATTGCGGTAAAAAATGCGCGGCAAACGCACATATTCCGTACGCCCAGGTGTGAACCCCGCCTAAGACTTATCAAGCTATTTATCCTCTACAGGCTGTATCGGAATCTCTCTACGACTATGGCTGCAGAGACCCTCCTCTTTGCCCTAGATGTAGACTGGGACCTAGAGATCTGATGCACTTTAGAAATACCCCAGGCTATCTTTATAGTGGCATGAAATAACCAATTGAATCCGTTATGAGCACACATTCCGCATTTTAAGATGAAAGTAAGTGCGGGGGGTTGAGCATTAGATGGGCTGGTCATGTATGGATCAGTCACAGAGGTGACATCCATGTATGTCCATATTAAATGTTTTTCCCCTCGCATTGTAATTAAAAATGAAATAATGAACATCATGTCGCTCCATTGGGAATTAGATTTAAGCAGACGTGTCCATTTTCTATCAGATTGCCCCCGATTCGGCACGATCAGGTCTGTTGAAACATAACTGTGTTCCATGTGTTTTTCCGGACCTGGCTGACTTTAAAGGACCTGGGGAGGGGGAGGGATTAAATCCATGTGGTGATGCTAGTTCAGTAAGTTGTATGAAGGTGTCCACCTGTTCCTTGTCGGCTTATGTGCTTGGAGGGCACCTCCCATAGGACCCAATTGCTCCCTTCCCACTTTGCAGCTGGTCAAAAGATTACAAGATAATTAAACCAAGTTAAATTCAGATGTTTACACTATTGATTTTGACAATACATTATTATTTTTCTTAATAAATGTCTAACTGCACAGGGGTGTGGAAATGTAAAAAAAACCACGGACAAGCAGGCTAATTACAAGTGATCTAAGTAGCTGTACAGCTGATACAAAACGGCTTCCTCGAAGCAGAGCTAAATGGATGCCTGACGCCCAGAACTGCATGTCCCAGGCATCGGGCGTTAAAAATTCCACACCCCTACTGCATTAGTGTGTTTTATATATCTGTGGCATTCAGCTGCAGTTGAGGAAAGTAAGGTCCCTGACACAGCTAAGCTGTTTGGCTGGAGAACCTAATGGGGGGAATTTATCAGAAGTGGCGCAGACAAAATCTGGAGCAGCTGTGCATGGCAACCAATCAGCTTCTCTCCAGTTTGTTCAGTTGAGATTTGAAAATGAAAGTTAGAGGCTGATTGGATGCCATGCACAACTGCTCTGGATTTTGTCTGCTCCAGTTTTGATAAATTCCCCCCAGTGTAGCTTACCTTTTGACATCCAGAGGGTCCAGAGAGCCCTCCAGCCTGTGGATTCTGACAACTCTCTAATGGTCACATGGCAGCCACCCCTTTTTTTTGTGATGGAACCTCCTTATTAGTCAGTAAGACAATCATCACCACAGTTACCCATAAGGGTGAGGGAATGGGCTAAAGTAGATCCTGCTCAGGTTTTTGGAACTTCTAGGGCAGCTATGACTTTGTGGTTGCCTGCAGGCACATGAAGGTGTCTAATGACAATAAACTGTCCTTGGTATTGTACAGCACACTCCAGTCCTGTAGATTGTATGCTCGGCTTTTTTGTTATTGAAGGTTTCATAGTACTCTTGGTATTTTGGCAACATCTTCATGCATTGCTAAGGATTATGGTCATTCCTTTTTTATAACTGCTTTCTACCCTTAACCCCTTCGTGACTGACGACGTACAGTGTACGTCGCCAGCATCGGGGCTGTACTATGTAACTATGTAACTACACTATCCTATCTACAGAAGCTCAGCAGAAATGTAGATGGCAGATTTTATTTGTAGCCAGCATTAGACAGTCAATTTGTAAAAACATTAAAGACGGTTAATGCATACTTGTGGCTTTTTTTTTGTGGCTGCAAATCCTATGCTAGTGTTTCTGAATTGGATTTCCTGAGTTGTGTTTTTTGTTATATTCCATAGAGTGGTAAAGGGTTTCTGTTGCTCTTTTTGTGGTTGGTTTCTCCTCTCTGTGCAAGTGACACACAAAGTAAAGAGCAATCTTGTCAACATCAAACCAAACCTCAAAAACATTGATGGCAGAAAAATACCAAGTGGTCCATTAAGTCTTCTCTACTCTAAAAAAAAAAGTTATCCGAACATGAAATGCTGTGTTTTTTGTTTAGCGTGATCCTGTCATGTTGCAAAAAAATCCTAAAGGCAGTTTCTTGTATTTCACTTGCCTCTCTGGAGGCCCATGTTTTCAATCTTCGTTCTGTTTCAGGGATGCAGCCTCTGTCAGACTTGGGCATTCCCGTGTCTTCCATCAGTTGCTGTCATTCCGTCCTCCAACATCGCCACAGAACACAGCAGCAACATAGTGTTTGGGGGATGTGTGCAAAGTTGAGCTATTGACCTCTGTGATGGAAGTTTTGTGGGGGTTATTCTGTAAAGCTGCCAAACATCATCCTGGAAAACTAGTTTATTCATCTACAATATTTTATATTTACCTGACTAAAAATTAAAAATGACTTGTTTATTTCTAAAAATAGAAAATACATTAAAAACAAAAGTATACTTATATAATTAAGTATAACTTACTTTAACTTAAGTATAAGTTAATGCTGTTTATTTTGAAATATTCTAAAAAAAAAACCTACCTATTTTTTTGCAGTCTTCATGAAGAAATCCTCGACTTCTACAAATACATGTCCCCTAGGCCAGAAGAGGAAAGAATGCGAATGGAAGTGGTTAATAGGATTGAAAATGTCATTAAGGAGCTTTGGCCAAGTGCAGATGTGAGTATAGTTCTTGTTTTAAACACACACACACACAACAATTTACAATTACTTGAAGCCACTCTGCTCCTGTTCGCCTCCTTGCTGGTGCTGGCCGCAGAGGTCTTTGTCCCTTTCAATCCCCGCCTGTATCGGCAGAGGCAGTGGGGAGAATAGACTGCGCTGATTCTGCATTCCCATGCTGCCTCCCTCGTACCTTTTGCTGCTGCCACGTTTCTCCGCCTGCCCCGTTTTCTTCTCTGCTTCTCTGTGCCCCCTCTTCTGCCGCTCCTATCAACCCCTCGGACTTGTGTCCGAGGGATTGTTTAAACAGCGGTGTCAAGTCTCCCATCAGTTGCTGGAAACAATAGCCAGCCTGCTATTGAATATTTTAAAATTGAAATAGCAGGCTGGCTGTTACACCCGCCCACTGCCTACTGTTAATCAGCAGAGGAGGACCTGAAGGAGAACTTTCTCCCTCAGGTCCCTCTGCTGATTGACAGTGGACGGGTGCAATAGCCAGCCTGCTATTATTTAAAATAGCCAATAGGAGGCTGGCTATTGCTCCCAGCCACTGCCTGCTGTATTTACTTTCAGCTGCCTCAGCAGGCAGCTGTAATTCCTCAGTGAAGTGGGAAGGTGTCACTATGTCACCTTAAAGAGAACCTGTCATCTCAAATGCGCTTTCACACAAGGGGCTTTCATTGCCACATGTGATGGCAATGAAATTAAAAAAAGTTTAAAGTCCCCCGACCCTGCAAACGCGCGCATACTAACGGAAACACACGTCAGGTGCACTTATGTATGAAAACAAAGATTGTCCTACATGTCGGGTATCGCCGCGTGCGCCTGAGGTGAGAGCAATCATTTTTAGGCCAATATTCATGGCTAACTAAACTGATGACCGGGCTTTTATTTCAAAAAATGTTTGTCTATTTTATTATATTGGAGTTTTACAATTCATAATATTTTAAATCCATAAAACTAACATGTCTAATATAATACTTACAATTATAAAAAAAAAAAATATGTAAAAAAAGGGGGGAAAATGTTTGGTTTCAATCTGACAAATTCTGCTGCAGTATGTGTGTTGTGGTGCCATTCATTTCAATGGCACCGCAAACGTGCCTCCTACCCAGTGTGATCGCCCACACTGGAATCCACGGTACTGCAATGCCGTGCGATTGCTAAAAAATGTGCATGCAGTTTTACTCTGAAGTAAACTTTGCTTGTAACACTCAATTTGTGTATTTTATTTTTTTTAAAAGATGGTATTTCATTTTTATTTTTTTTTCTTAACTGATCGGAAAAAAAACTATTAACCAACTAATTGATTATTAAAATAATAGATAGTTGCAGCCCTAATGTTGAGCATGCCAGCCATGCCATATGTTAACATTTATTTAGTCTACCTGCTATTACTTCTATGTGCCTCTCCGAAACTACTTTCAGAGGCCTAATTTCCCTTAAATCAGACTTGTCCTCTGTGCTAAAGCTTCCCAGCTTCCACACTGTAATGAAAGTTGGTTGTAGACCAGTAAGGTTACACTTATTGGACAGGGAAATGGCATTTACATTATGCTGGCTTGAACATAGAATGTTTGGGTTTTTTTTGGGGGCTGCCAGTCCCATTCAATTAATTACCTAGAAAATACCAGCCAAATGAGCCTGCAAAGCAAGAGCACTGGATTCTCTTCCACATTCAGTGTCTTTGTAAATGTTGCCTGAAGGATTTCCGTGAACTTCCACTACAGTGTGACTCCTTCACCTCCTCCTTGCAGCTGTGTTCCAATTTGGTGCCTGGTCTTTTTGAATGTTTTGTTAATGTTTAGTTTCAGGCATCAGTAAAACTCACTGCCTGCCTCCTTGGCGGCTGTAAAAAAAACAAACCTTTTTTTTGTCTTGTGCATTATATTGTAAAAACTCTAATAAAAATAGATTTTTGTGAAAAAGTAATTGGGCCTGGGACGCCCATACATTCGCCCACAGCCGTAACTTGCTTGTTATTTTGTCATTGCCAAGTTTCTGTCTTATAGAAAAATCAGGAGATACATTATACATCATACCAAAACATGAGTATGGCAAATAAAGTGACAAGCCATGAATGAATATGTAGTGTTGTTTTATTGTATGCTGACATGGCCTTTTTCAAAGAAGCATCCACACAGATTTATTACTGCATGTCCATTGTTAGGGGCTTATTCACACCAGGGCAATCCATTGCAATGAACTTGTGTGTTGCATAAACGCTGCCCTTTTATGTGAATGGACTCTCCAACTCCCCACAACAGAGCAAACATTGCTCCTGCACCAAGTTTGGCTTGCACAGTAGCACATGATAGTGTTACCGCACTTTGAGGTGCCATTCACAATGCCTCAGTGCACCAAAGTATGTACCATTGGTTACTACTGTACACTGGTGTGTGTGTGTGTGGTCCCCAAGTAGTTTTATTTACATGCATGTTATCCTGTGTGAGCATTCCGCCTGTCCTCAGAACATGATATCCACCCATCACAACGTGCAGTGCCATTGGGGAAACGAATGCATTGGAAAGGTTTTTTTTTTCCTGTTTCTATAATATTTATTATTTTTCAGGTCCAAATATTTGGGAGTTTCAAAACCGGACTTTATTTGCCTACCAGGTAAGTTATTTAGTTTAATCTCCTATTCATTTCACCTTTTCAAGTCTTAGTTACAAGAAATATTGTACACAGAAGACCTTACCATTCTCTGCAATTGCTTGCAATGTATTTATTTATTACAGATATTTATATAGCGCCGGGATTGTATGCAGTGTTTTACATACTTGCACGTTCACATCAGTCCCTGTCCTCAAGGAGCTTACAATCTAAGGTCCCTATCTCACATGCATGCATACAGGGGCCAGTTTAGACATGAGCCAATTAACCTACCAGCATGTCTTTAGAGTGTGGGAGGAAACCAGAGAACCCGGAGTAAACCCGCACAAGCACAGGGAGAACATGCAAACTCCTTGCAGATAGTGACCTGGCCAGGATTCAAACCAGGAACCCCCAGTACTGCAAGGCGGAAGCGCCATCTACAACACTGTGCTGTCAGCTAAGCCCAAGTGATTAATAATCTACCTAGAAATGAAGCAAGCCTTAGCCAGTAAGGATACTATGTATGGACAGAAGAATACATAGTATCATGGCATTTGGTGGATCAGACACCCAGTAACAAAGTTAAACTATTTACAAAGAGGCATACAGAGAAGTAGTTTCTGTGTAACAGCAGGCGTGTTGTAACCTGTAAATGGCTGTTACATTTGCTTTAAACGTAAAGTAAGTAAGCCTTAAAAGCATTATATAAATATAAAGTAAATATTAGGACTGCCATTGCTTATTTCCTTTCTGAAAAAAATAGTTGCTAGTGGGCCTGTTCTAGTGGCCCACTGGGCAATACTTCCGATAAACCGACCTGAAACAATCGCAAATATTAACCCCTTCATGACTGAGCTTGTTTTTAGTTTCTGTTCGTAAATGACTGACACACTTTTGACATTTTTGCTGTGTGATTCTTCCACGTCAGTAATATACTTTCTTACAAAGTGCACCCACACATATTATATATTGTTTTTTAGAGGACAGATAGGGCTACATATTTATATCACATATGTGTGTCTAACGCCTCACTTAGGACAAATAAAATATAAAAAAGAGGAAAAAAACGTTAAAAAAACAAAACCAGCACAGCTAAAAAAATGCAATAAAATACATTCATTTATTTGTCCCTTATTTTATTTTTTACACATTTTTTTTTTTTTTTACACTTTTCACTTTTTTAACTTAATGTTATTATTTAATTATATCAAGCAGTCATTGTGAATTAATCTCACTGTTACTGCTTGATAAATTAATACATTTTTGGTTATTATCAGGCTGCTTCAAACTTCAGAACAGCCGATAATAAGTTAGTGACACTGATCCTGCAGCAGTTCAGGATTCAGCTGTTACTAAATGTTTCCTGATTGTTGCAACAACGATCAGCAAACAAACATTCTTCTTCCAGGAATAGATACATTGTAGGAATAGACACATTATGTATCTATTCATGAAAGAAAAAAAAAAAAGCCAGTATAGCTTGAGAGAGATATCTCTCGATCTATACGAGCTGTCAGAATGCCGGCAAAAGCCGGCATCTGTGTCCGCTCTGCTGTAACTCTCAGACACCCGATATTAAGGTATCGGGTGTCTGAAAAAGGTTAACCCTTTCATTAATGAATGCCTCTGTAGTAAGGGCATCTATTAATGAATGTTAAAAGCTGATTCTCAGCGATTAACAGCCCTCTAAAGCAGCAAATAACTCGTCACGTACAGTGTACGTGACAAGTCATTTGGTCCCTTTGTGGCTGGACGTACAGTGTACGTCTCCCGTCACGAAGGGGTTAAAGTGTAATGTCAAAAATCCCGGTCTACTTGCTCTGTTTTAAGAACCTAAAGCGCTAAAGCTGGAGCGTCAACGTGATGGTCAGGTAATTGGCATCTGTAAAAGTCAGAAATGGTTACCCTCTACTATTCCTCAGTTTTTTTTTTTTTAAATGAACACAATAGATGCAGTTTAGGTATAGCTTTTGTATAAGTTGTTCAGCATTGTGTAAAGCTTTACTTTCCAGTGAAGAGAGTTCCGCTCAGTTCATTTACATATGATGCATCACCCCCGATGTCTTAAAAGCAGCAAATAAATGGTGTGCATCCCCCAACTTGACCTTCAGAGAACAAACCTCTCATTGGGGCTATCCTATCCAGTGTATAAATTCAGTATGATTCCAACTAGTGCTTTCACCCCCGCTTTACTAAAGGGGGAAGATGTTCATTAATCTTCAAGCTCAACAATGCATTTGTATAATCTTTTGATTAAAAAATGTAGAAACCAGTATAGTTTGTTATAAAACTCTGCTTAAGTTTGTTGGTACCCTTCCCCAAAAAATAGAACCCACGACTTAGTCTGAAAAAACTTGAAACTGACAAAAGTATTTGCCATCCATCATTTTATTCCATGTTGAATAAACATCAGACTTTGCTTTTGATTTTTTGATTCAACAGAAATGTTTAAGTAATAAAACAAATAAAAATGGCGCAGACAAGAATGACGGGACCCATAACATAATAATTTTAGGCAATCACTGCAAGCAAACCATTTCTGTACCTTTCAGTAAACTCCTGCACCTGCCAGTAGGTAATTTGCACCACTATTCCTAAGCAAACCACTCCTGCGCTCTCGAGTTTGAAGGGTGCCTCCACACTGTGTATGTTTTAGCACTTACCATAGATGTTCAATAGGAATCAGATCAGGACTCGTAGAAGGCCACTTCAGAATAGTCCAATGTTTTTGTTCTTAGCCAATCGTGGGTGCTTTTACCTGTGTTTTGGCCCTTAATCCTGCTGGAGAACTTATGACCTGCAAATGCGACAGAAACTTTCTGACACTGGGCAGTACATTTCACTCTGGAATTCTTGATTTTTCTTGAGATTTCATTGTGCCCTGCATAGATTCAGTGCCAGACATAGCAAAGCAGCCCCAGAACACAACTGAGCCGCCTCCATGTTTCACAGTTACATACGGTGTTTTCTTCAAAAGCTTCTTTTTTTTTTTCCCTCTGTGAACATAGTTTGTATGGTTTGCCAAAAAGCTCTGGTTTTGTCTCATCTGTCCAAACTACATTCTCCCAGCAGCATCGTGGCTTGTCCCTGTGAATTTTAAAAATAACAGTTCTTAGCTTCTTTATTATTCTTTCACTTTGGAGTTCTCCTTGGTCTTTTTGTACTTTAAGCACACCGTTGCTCAAAAAGCGAATGTATCTTTTTGGAAGTTTTACTACTCGCACTTCTGTTCAATATGGAGTGGGTTTTACTCTTGCAGTCACGTTCAGGGAGGTTAGCTACACTATACTCTACTCTATTGAAATCAGCTGACTGCATTTAAATATGCTAGTTACAAGGCTGATTGAAGCCATGTAATACTAATTACAGGAGACAGTTTAGGGCCTGTTCACATGATATCAGTTCCTGATCAGGTGCGGATCTGCAGACTGATGCAGTGCGTTTTGGCCGCGTTTTTGATGCGTTCAAGTAAAAACGGAGTGGGGGCTGTTAGTATGTTAGCTGCAGTGCAGTGCGTTTTTGCCGCGTTTTGGGACCTGACAAAATGTGACATGCAGTATTTTTTCTGTCGTAACCTGAACGGACTGAGCACGTGAGAACTGGAGCCCATAAAACACATAGGGATACATTGGGATGCATTTTGAGTGCAGCAGCGTACGGAGCCGGTCAGCACACAAAACGGACGTCGTGTGAACAGGCCGTTAAAGAACTCTGGGAATGTAAAACATTAATCCTTGCAGTGGGGCTACCCGTGCACTGCAAGGGTTAAGCACTTGTTTTGGTTTCGGGTCTACAAGAAGATGCACTCCCCTGATCCTCGGTCCTGTGGTGTTGACCGCTCGCTTTTCTGCCCCAGCTCGGTGTCCTCGCGTCAGTTGAAAAAAGAAAGTCCATGAACCCATCGCACTCCTGATTGCTTAATCCAAAACTAGCTGGTGGATGCAGCGGTGGTAGACGTATGGCAACCGTCATATGTACAAGTAGAAATGGGACACCGGCACTCCAAGTGCCGATCAAATGCATCTATTTATTGACGTAGATTCAGCATATCACACAAGTGCAATTTTTTGGGGTCTCCCAGGATCCCCTTCCTCAAGCAGAACGTCAGTTGGAGCCCAGGGGAGAAGAGACTGCGGGAACTGGTCTAGCAGCCAGACGGGACTGAGAATTGGGTGCGTAGCCCCACTACAAGGGTTCATTTTTTACATGCCAGGAGTTTTTCTTTAAAATATCACATTGATCTATTTATTTAGAATCTTTTCTACAGGTCATTTTAGGATTTCCTTGTGGAACAAGTAATAATTTCTCTTTTTCACACTTTCTTTTACATGCACGCACTAAAGCCATGCAGACTTTGCTTTTATTTCATAATTTTTATGATGGAATGAAGCATTGTATCAAAGAGCTGTAAGGGTACCAAGAAATTTTGTCCATGCCTGGTATAATCCTGTCAATGATTATGTGGATGGCCATGCTAGTGTGGAGAACACAACTGCCCACAGTAAGTTAGTATTTGTTTAGTGTGGATGCAGCCACAGCCAGTCATTGATTTTAACAGGCGGCTGCATGGAGCACCCATGCCTGCCCGGACGCATAAACTTGGCCTCTGCACAGATTCAAGGATCTTTGCGCCCATGTGTATGGGGCCTTTATTTAACTGCTTTATGGATTCAAATTGTTGATTCACTCAGACTACTCTCTCAAGACTTTTTGTGGAAACTACTTAGTCAAGAACTTGTATATGCAGCAAGTGTAATTAAACTATGTAAAGGAAGTGAAAATGGTTATTAATGATCTGTGGATGTGCTTTCCTTGCAGCGACATTGACCTAGTTGTTTTTGGCAAATGGGAGAATTTACCACTGTGGACACTTGAGGAGGCATTGCGGAAGCACAAAGTGGCTGACGAAAATTCTGTTAAAGTTCTCGACAAAGCCACGGTTAGTTGCACTTGTATTTTTGCAGCCATCATTTTTGTTGAATGTGAAAAATAATGTACGTTTTTAAAGAGGACTAGGATATTGCATGAATTTTGAAAATTCCTTCCTAAAACTAAAAAAAAAAAAGGATATTTGGTTGACCGATTCTACAAATGAACAATAACTATATCTTTAGGTGCTATTTTACATGAATTGCTTTGTTATATACCTCTTACTGAAAGACGCCCCCTAAAAAAAAATAAGATACCTCTAAAATCACACCTCCTCGTGAAATGGCCTGGTTTCCATTGTTCTCTGCGTACTGTTGAGCAGCAATATTGCCTGCAGTAAACATGGATGATGTACTATACTTATATGAACTGCCCATTATGCTAAGAATGGTGATGGCATGGCCGTAGTTACAGGTAATGCACAGTTTATATCAGTAAGATCCCCCAAAATTGGCTCCCCAGATTGTACCACCATCTCTAAAATGGGGAAGTGGGTGGGGCTAATTGCACTTGTAATGCACCCCACCAAACTGTATTTAATGGGCCGAAGGACACTGGCATTTGTACTGTTCAGTACTTCCTTTCAAGAAAGTCACCTTTAAAGGAGAACTATGGGGTCAGTGTTTTTCCCCATCGTTCTCCTTGGGGTAACAGGAGGACACAAACTAGCGTCCTCCCGTCACCCTAAGCTCAGTATACCGCGAGCTACAGCTCGCGGTATACTGAGATGCCGCAGCCGGAGCGGATCCCGACTTAGATGACGGGATCCGCCCAGCTGCGTGAGTGACAGCTGGCTCTGCCTATCTAGAGGCAGAGCCAGCTGTACCTGCCCCCTCCCCCGTCCGTTCCGCCAGTCAGCGCTGGCAGATCGGAGCGGGGAGAGGGGAATCCAGCCCCTCCCCCTGTCACGGCAGAGAGCCATGACAGGATCGAGAGGCGAGCGAACCCGGTATGTGTTCGCTCACCTCCCGATCTACTGAGCCAACCTGTGACAGTCTCATTGTCACAGGTCGGCTAGAACTATCAGGTGAGTGAAAAGCACTCACCTCATAGTTCTCCTTTAAGAGCCCCAGCCATGTGAAGGTCCTTCCTATATGACTCTCTTTTTCCTATTGTTTCCCACTGAAATATTATTCCATAATTACACAGAAGTAGAAGGTAATATATTTATTTACCACCAGGCACTGTGGCACCTGGGGCTTGGGATATGGAAGAACTCCCTTCCCGAGTCTCCTGAACTTCCAGTCCATAGTCAAACTATTCCTACCTCAGCTCCTGAAGAGGCTTGACTCCTGCACATTTGGCTTATTTGCTTTTCCAGCTTTGTGGCAGCGAGGTGCCATGCCAGATATGTATGCAGAGAGATGCATATGAATGCTCCAACCCTAATTTAAAGTAATTTATAGTGTTAGGTGGCTGGGTTGCTCAGCATCATGCATTCCCATGGGCTGGCCGCCAGCATCATAACCACTAATGAACTGCATGTTGCTGTGCAGCTCAGGCGTCAACTGCCGCGGTAACTGATTTTTTTTGTTGGTTTTTTTTTTTGCGCACCCTGGCACAAGTCACTGACATCTGCTGCAACCATTTGCTTGAGGAGAATCTAATGATACAAGATAGTCTGGGTACCTCCTAGTCCTATGTTGGATCTGTGGGATAATATACATTTGAGTTTCTCTGAGAATGTTTACAGAATAAATTGTGTGGATATTTATTTCAATTGTCCAATCATGTGCAGATGAAATAAGAATAAATCTTTTCACATTTTATTGTGTAAACATTCTCAGATTCTTTAGTAAATCAGCCTAAATATGTTCAGATGTGGGGCACTATCCTGTTGAAAATATATCTGCAAAATGGTGACTTGAGTTTGGTTTAGCGAAATATTGTGGCTCGGTCAGTAAACGAGCATTATTTGTAAAGATAGCAGACATCTGCACATATACAATTGAATTGTTTTGCATGAGGCTATGGGAATCGATTACTGTATGGCATACAAGTTTTAAATGGGCATAAAAAGTCTTAATATATTTCCAACTTTTTGTATTGTAATCGGTTGATGTGAGCCTCACAGTACATTTCCCACTAGCAGAGGTCTACAGGCAATGTTTTGTATACAAGCATTTGAGAAATGATTATGTGCAAATTGTAAGATCTCATAGCAACCAATACAGTTTTAGTATATGGACATTTGACAAGTGAATTAGGAATATTGCTGTACCTTTTTTTCTTTTTGTTTTTTATTAATAGTTTTTTTGCTTCTGATGATGCAATGCTATTATTTATGCTTGTGTTGCAGTGGTTTAACCAACCCCCTTTTCTCTTTTCTTAGGTACCGATCATTAAACTGACAGATTCGTATACTGAAGTAAAAGTAGACATAAGTTTTAATGTACAGAATGGGGTAAAAGCAGCCCAGCTCATCAGGGATTTTATTAAGGTTGGCATCATCTTTAAGAATTTTTATATCTGCTCCCAATTAATATGTGACTGTAAATCAGATTTTTTGAAAATTAATAATGTAAATGTTTAAATTGATGTGATTCAAGCACTTTATACAAAGTAAATCTGGAATGTTTCTGCTGTGTAAGTGAAATACAGTACTAACCTTGGGATATTTCGTCTTCCAAAGGACCACAACGACCGTGGCAGCCGGCCAGGAGCTCTCTAGATCTGAGTGGGCATCTTTAGACGTCCGCTCAGCCACGCCCCCTTGCGCGCACGGGAAATGCACGATTTTTAAAACCAGGCAGCGATGCCTGTTAGCATACAAGCGATCCGCCGCTATAAAGCCGGCGGATCGCTTGTATTAGGTCCCGGTACGTGCGCCCCCCCCATCCGCGGCTCCCCCCCTCCCGCTGTCGCACTGTGCCGGGTGTGAGCCCGGTACCAGCATAGTGCCACTCTGACGGGATCAGAGGGAGATCGGTACACAAACTCCCTCCGGTCCCCTCTCCGCTGTCAGAATGCAGAACTGATGTATATTACATCACTTCCGCATTCTTGTGTCACTCTCCAGCTTCAGATGCTGGAGAGAAGCTGATGAAGCAGATCTCTGCTTCATCAGCTTCTTCAGGGGGGTCCTAGGTGACATTTGGGGTCTTGGACAACCCTGATGTCTCCATAAAGAGGACCCGTCAGTTCTTTTGCTATCGCATAAGGGGGTTTCTTATGTACACCCATGCAAACAGGTGCTCATACATGCAAAAACGACGATAGCGCCCATTACGCCGCACATGTTACATATTGTCGCGAACGTCCGAATGAGAGCAATAATTCTCGGGCTATCGATCACCGATCACACTAAACTGATGAGCGGTAAAAGCTTTTAAAGCGTCGCCTATGGTCAATTTTGGGTATGGTAGTTTTTTTGCGATTTTGCTGGTGAGCGCAATTTTAAAGCTTGATATGTTTGGTGTCTATTTACACGATGTGACCCCGTATTTTATATTTTACCAAAAATATGAGTAATAATCATTGTTTACTAATATAATGAAAAAATTACTTTTTTTTTCTCTCAAAATTGTCAATAATTTTTCCTTAATATAGTAAAAAATAAAACCCCAGTGGTGATAAAATACCACCAAAAGAAAGCTCTATCTGTCCCCCAAAAAATGGTATAAAATGTATTTCAGTACAGCGTTGCATGACAGAATAAATGTCAGTCAAAGTACCGCAGCGCTGAACACTGAAAAATGGCCTGGCCAGGAAGGGGGTCTAAACACCTGGTCTTGAAGTGGTTAAACCTGTTTCTCATGAGATTCCTCCTTGCAGCAAGCAGTTGTTTCACCCTTTCCCAGCCTGTACATAAAATTCCTCCCTGCAAGTACCGCTTTGGCTGAAGTACTTTTATGCATGCTCTAGAGATTGCTCTGATCTCCATGGTGGAGCTGCACACTGGAGGCCGGGGGAAAGATGGGGGTGAATGCATTATACAAGATTTAATATATATATATATATATATAGCTTTTTTGCTTTTAAAGTTATTTAAGGTTTTTTCATACTGTCCACACCTGATGTGCGCTCGCCACTCCCATTGTTTTTTGAATATTGAGATTGGACCTGTCTATCAGCTGCTGTCATCCCCCCACCCCTGCTCCTCCTTACTACATCTCCCCACGTGCCTTGCCGATCGTAGATGGGCAGGAAATGTGAGGCGGGAGGAGGTGCGGCGTGTGGAGCGTGGATGCGAGCGGTTCTGGCAGCGGCGAGCGTGAGGTGGGGAGGAGGTGTGGCGCGCAGCGTGTGTGGAGCTGTGAACAGGGCCAACCAATCTGAAGCCGATTAATCGATGATTGAAAAAGTTGACAACTTTTTCAATCATCGATTATAATCGATTACGTCGATTTAGTTGTTGCAGCCCTAAATATATTGGTAGAATTTTTTGGGGTTCTTTTTACCATCTGAGGCGATATGCTTTTCGCACTTTTAGCTGCCCGGATTTCTAGTTTGCATTTTTTGTTACATTCTTTATAGTTAAGGAACGCCAATGCCGTCCCTTCCGTCTTATATTTCATACATGCCGCTCTCTTGTCCTTGACGTGTTTTACAGTTTTATTATACCATATTGGTTTAGTCTTTGATCTTTTGCTTTTGCTTCCTAAAGGTATACACTTTGAAGTAGCAGTATGTAGTGTGTTTTTAAAACAATCCCACATCTGGTCTGTGTTTTTAGGTTTTGAAATAAGTTTTCCCATTTTAATTCCCCCACTAGGTTGCGCAGCTTATCAAAGTTGGCCCTACTGAAGTTTAGGGTTCTAGTCCTTCCAGTACAAGAAAACTTGAATTTATGTCCATCCAAAAACTACATCGGTAAAATTTTCCCATTATGAAAGCCAGAAGGGAACACTGACAAGAGTTCACATGCAGCAGCTGCCCAGACATGCAGACTGTTTTGGCTGAACGCTTTTTCGGGAAAGTTTACTGGATGCACATAAATCCAAGTATTCTTGCGAGTATATGGATATTTATACAATACAAATTCCTTTATACAATATCACACTCTTTTTCTGATTTGTGTTTCTGACATGGTCTGTGGAGGAGGTCCCGCACTCCCTGTGGAGGGCTGCCGTCCCTGGTGAAGGGGTTGGTGATATCGTAGGCCAAGTGGTTTCTCCGGTTGCTATTGGCGCTGAAGATTTTATGTGGCTGTGGGCACAATAGCCAGCCTGCTATTGAATTTTGTAATGCCAGCCCACTACCTGATGTGTTTACATTCAGCTGCCGTCTGCAGACTCTTGCCATCGGCAGCTTCCATTCCCTGGCTGAAGCTATTTTACAATACAATTATTTAAAAAATATATATAAAAGGTGGGGCCTTACGAGTTCTGCTGCAGGTGGTGCACCAGAAGGTGGAGCTGCAGTGCCATTCATTTTGGTGGCAGTCCAAACACCCCTCCCACCCACAGTGTAGGCAATCACTAGAAGGGATGGTACCACAATGTTTTATTCTGAAGTAAGCTATATGTTTGTAGCACTACATTTTCTTATTATATTTTAAATTTAAGGATGGTATTTATATATTTTTTTTTAGGGCTGGTAATGATAAACATTTTCGTGTTCGATTAATCGAAATTTTTGATAAGGGTGTTATTTTTTTTTTTTTTTTTTTTTTAAATCTGATTAATTAGAAAAAAATCATTGGCCATCTAATCGATTTATGTAAATAATAAGTTGCAGCCCTAATCTGTATCCACTTTGGTTACCAATTAACTTGTTGACATGATTAATAGCTGTATGTTTTGTTTACTTTCACAAAACCAATGTGTGTCTCACTGTAGAAGTAGTCCACCCAAATCTCTTCTACATTGTTATTGTACATAAAACATATTGAACATTACGCATCCCTGAAACATGTCAGAGGTGGGGGAATATTTTTAGGGCTGTCATTTTCATTTACTATTGGACTATAATAGTTTTTAGGTGTCACCTATTTACAATTTTGAGTATATTGTTTATTTTCTCTTCAGGCATGAAATATTTGACGCGCTCTCATCCTCCTTTTTGTTTGTTTTTTTGTAACCCGTACACAATGGCCCTTATGCACATTAATGTGGTTTCCGGCTGGTTGGTGAACTATAGCCATTCTACTGGAAAATTCCTAATACTTAGAAATTAAAAATATACACACTTTAAGGCTGCCATACATTCAGCATGATTGACTGCATCACTGTTTCAGGCAAGATTTTTCCACCCAACTCCTGCTCACATCAAAGGATTAGGGTGGGAGGCTGCCGACAGGACCACTCATGGACGGAAATTATGACCGTTCAATCTGCTTCTATGGCCAGTTTTATCCACCATACAGTGCTGACCTATATATTAAAACCTACACATATTTGGGGTCCTGTATTTGGTGGAAAATAGGAGAAAATGTTTGCAATAGTGTTAATTTTACAAAATACATTGCACATTAAACCACAAAAAAAGTTTCCTTATTTCTGTAAATTTTTTGTTACCATTACAATAATCTGTGCATTTAATGAAACTCTACTTTTGGTAGGCAGAATAGTCATCATGAGGTTAACTAGTGCATATTGAAACTGCCATATATGGCTGGGACATCCATGTTTTTCAGTCATTCTTAGTCATTAAAGGGTTAATTGTAGAGTAGTTGTGTACAAATTGTTTTTTTTGGTCTTCTGGTTGGTACTAAAATATTTTTTAAGCCAGGTATAAAATGCATATAAAATGTGTTTCTTCTTTAAAACCAGAAGGTGGAGCTGTTGGCTTTTCCTGAGCTTTGCAGTAAAGTCTCTTGCTTACATATAAAAATGGAAGACTTGTTAGCAGTGGCCTATTTAGATTGCTTAGCCTAAAGTTTCATTCAAACTGAGACAAGGCATACAGCCATGAAAGTGCTCTCTGTTTGACTCCTAGCGCTTTGGTCATTTAAGTATGTTTTTATTTATGGATTATGCAGTTATCTTGGGCACTGACAAATCATAGCTGTTAGGACACAACTTTATAACTCCTCCCACTCCCAGGCTTTCTCTGCTCTGACTGGCGGAACGGACAGGGGAGGGGGCGGGTACAGCTGGCTCTGCCTCTAGATAGGCAGAGCCAGCTGTCACTCACGCAGCTGGGCGGATCCCGTCGTCTAAGTCGGGATCCGCTGCGGCGTCTCAGTATACCGCGAGCTGTAGCTCGCGGTATACTGAGCTTAGGGTGACGGGAGGACGCTATTTTGTGTCCTCCCGTTACCCTAAGGAGAACTATGGGGAAAAACACTGACCCCATAGTTCTCCTTTAAATAAAAATGTAACTTATTTGTGCATCTCTCGGCTGTAGATCCTCAAATCATCTCTGAATTCATGCTGATGCTGTCCTTCCTTCTGGAGGTTGGCTACTTTTGTTCCCCATAGTCCCTGTGTGTGTTGTAAAGTAGCCATTGCTTCAAGCTCGCTCCTGCAATGGAATACAGTATCATGTTTAGTTTACTGATATGTATTCAAATTAAAACATTACAACTAAATATGAGATTGAAGTCAATCACAGGAGCGAGTTTGGAGCAGTGGCTACTTTACAATGCACAAAAGTACAATGGGGAACAAAAGTAGCCACCCTCCAGAAGGAAGGACAGTGTCAGCACCAATTCAGAGATGATTTTAGCATTTACAGCGAGTGATACACATATAAGCTACAATTTTGTAACTGTTAAGGTACATGAATGCATTTTTAGGATTTAACTTCTAAGTTTATTGTCAATGTAACCATTGAGGGCCGTGGTCCATTTCAGTGGAGTCCTCCTGTCCCTAATGACCCCTTTAGGGAGCCATTGGGAGGGTGAAGCCTGAATTGTGCATGTCCCCTTTAATTGACCATGCTGCTCTGCCGGGGGCGTTGCCACTCTGTGGGTTGGTAAATCAGGGCTAGTCAGTGCTAAGCTACCTAGATTAATGCCTCTCTCTCTGTATGGGTCGTCTTGGCAGGGTGAGGATTGCTGCCCCCTCTCTTTAAATTTGGTGCTATTCTCAGGATCCAGTTCCCTCAGAGAAGTCTTCATCAACATGAAGGTGCGCCCCCCAGTTTCCAAAGTGGGAGGGCTATTGTTTATTGTGAACTCCTACATAGTTTGCCCTTCAGGCAGTTAGGTTTGCCTCCAACACTTTTCTGCTACTCCCCTTCAACCTTCCTGTGTTACTAGAAGGATTTGCAGATCTACTTTGGCCCCTTTGGGGTCTTCTAGAACAAGTGATCATCATCATTCCAGCTCTTGTGCCAGTTTGGCTGAATTTCTACCTGGTCACTGTTCTCTTCCCAGAAGAAACGGTGTCCCTCTTCTGGGTCTTGCAAGTTCTAAAGTTTTGCATGGTATCCAACATATCTACCATGCCTTTACCTCCCCCAAAGGGTTCTTGTGGTTGTCTAGGAGGTGTAACAACAGATCATTTTTCCAGGGCACCATCTCCTCAGTCTCACCCCTGCATTCTCAAGTTTTCCCCAGGGTACTAGCTTCAGTGTTTGCTGTATTGCCTGTTGTGGGGGGAGATATTGTGAAATAGCGCCCACTTTGTCTGTCTGTCCAGATGTCTCCACAATTTGGCTTGATCCAGTATTGTCAAAAATATGCGCTGGAAATATCACCTGCAGGCATTTTTATACCGGATTGTTTCTTAGGCAGAAAAATCTAGCATGCATTCACTTTCACTGTCCTTGTCCCTTAGGCCTTGTTCACACCAAATGCAGACCATGTCTGCATGAGTTTCTGCACACGCAGTGCATGGGGTTTTGCAGCGTTTTTTTTATGCGTTCCCGAGCCATTTTTTGGTAAAAATTTTTTTTAAAGTTTAAAATGGGCTTTCAGTGCGTTCCAGGGCGTTTGGATGCATTTGCATGCGTTCCAGAGCAGGTAAAATAGGTCTTGCTGCAGTTTATTTTTACCTGCTCTGGAACTGAACGCTGTGGTGTGAACTAGAGCCCAAAATACCATTGGAATACATTGGATGCAGTTTTGATCCGGTCTGCAACTGCTCTGCTCCTGGAACAGGTTTGGTGTGAACAAGGCCTTAGTCAGGGAGTTACCTGTCTCTCGCTGTTGAGAGCCGTGTGTCATTAGGCCACCCTCTGACAGTTTTTTTTTTTTTCCTCTTCCCAGACAATCTCTCTTCCATCTGCTGTTGTAAATCAAGTTGGTTGAGTTTCTGAGCAAACTGGTTTTGTCTACCCCTGGGGATCAGGTTGTTTCTGGCCCAGTGACACAGGCTTCTAGTTCTGTAGTTGCAGAAATCTTCTCTTCCCACTTTCTGGATGGTCTGCTCATTGGAGAATTTTCATGTCTACTGGAGTTTCAGAAAACGTGTTTCCTATCCCTTGGCCAGGTCTTTATATTGATCCAATGGGACATCAGTGTTTCCCCAATTGATTGCTTCTGGATTTGGAGCAGTGGTCCATATACCTTGGTGCATTCTAGGACCTGTGTTGCAGGTGGAGAATGTTGGATGAGCACCCCATGATACCCCAGGTCTACTACATGCTAAATAGGTTTGTTTCCTGGTGTGGGAGTCCTCTGGAAGTAGCAGGAAATGCTCTGATGACTCTGTGGGAGCTACAAACATGGACAGATTTGTTACTAAGCTTATAGATCATTGAACCAATGCTTGATTCCTCCTGAAAAGTGATGACATTAAAAACTATTGTCTCAGGTATACCTGCATGCCTTTTGTTATGTCAGAGTAACCCTTAGGGCTTCATTCCAGGAGGTGGTATTCTGTGCTGATTTTTGGTGATGAGGTTAAGTTTCTTTCCCCGTCTAAACCTTGTATGGGGAGTTCCCATGTAATTTACACAATTTAGCCATGCTGTCTTCGTGGAAACCAGCCCTGGTTCTTTATGCATTTTCAGGAACCACAGTTACACTTCTTGTAGGTAATTATGCCACATAGTCCATTTTCTAGCCCCAGCTCTTTGAAAAAAAAAAAACCCCTTCCTTGATAATAGTTCAGGCTATGAGTCTTTTCTTTGCAGCACGTACTCCTGGTTCATCTCTCCAAATTTCCTTTGTAGGTAATTGATTTCCATTCCACCCATCTGTTTGGATCAGGTAGATGAGTTTCTCCGCTTATTGCCTATAGATCACTGTTCTCTTTTCTGTCAACACATTCCTTCATCACTAGATAGAAATGTTCTTTTTTTTCTTGCATCATCATCCTAGTTTACCGCCTGTTCTTGTTCTTGTTCTCGCGTCTTTGTTACAAGGTGTGGTCAGCAACCTCATCTGGTGCAATGACCATGGGCGTATGATGCTGCAGGCAGTCCTTTTAATTTTCTTTTGTTCATGTTGGCCCTGTTACTGGTTGGTTGTTCTTTCCCAGCCCCCGGTTGGACTGCTTTTGGATGTCCTGAGGGTGAGTCTTCTCCTGTGCCTCAATGGATAAGAAAAATAAATAGGATTTTTGATCCCACTGTAAAACACTTATATCTTGGAGTCCATTCAGGGACACAGGTCCCCCCTCTTCTGTGTTTCTGATCATGCTTTCGTTACTGCTTGTGTCAACTGAGGAATCATGATATGAGGGGTTATTCTGTGCTAGCCTACAGTTTTCGGTGTTTGCCAGAGTTTAGTCATCCTCCTAGGCCTCAGTATCACTCAAAGGTGAACGAGTTGCGACAAGGCTTAAAGGTCTGAAAAGTGAAAAGCCAGTTGTGTGGCTTAGCCCAAAAGTGACTGAAGTCAGGCCCTTGGTAACAAAACTAAATCAGGAAGCAATGAATGCATTGTATGACTAGTAAAGCTAATGGTCTTCTCCTTCTGGCATCTCCACTTGGATAGATAATTTTGTTTTCAGCCTTTAGAATCGCTGATGTTTTTTTTAAAGGGTTAAGTACCTATTATTTAAGCATTACAACCCGGCTGTAGGTAATAATTTCATCTAAGGACACAACCTAATTTGTCCCCTTCGTGGACAGCACAAGGCATACCAGAAAAATGTTGTTCCGCTATGATTATGTATATGCCTTTTTTATATTTTCTGTAATACAATTAGATTTAGAGTTAATACACTTTCACACTTGCTAATCACATTCTCTTGCTTGTCTTTCAGAAATATCCAGTCCTTCCATACTTGGTGCTGGTTTTAAAGCAGTTTCTGTTACAAAGAGACCTTAATGAAGTGTTTACAGGGGGAATAGGCTCCTACAGTCTCTTTTTAATGGCTGTTAGTTTTCTGCAGGTAAGATATCCAAATAACTGTTAAAGCTGAACTCTTGCCAAAACAACCTTTTCAAACTTCCCTCTCCAACCACTTTAAAAACATGATAAATAATTTTGCACTTGCATGGTTTCCCCTATGAAGATATTCAAAGCTGTATTCCCTGTGATGTCATCACAGGGTTCCCACAGCAGCATGCCCTACATGTCTTCCTGTATACAGTAAGTATGTCCTGCCAGAATAATAAAAAAAAACAGTTGTGGGTGGCCCCCTGTCCATGTTCTCTAATCTTGTGCACTGCTGCCTCTTTTCTGTCCTGAAAACTGTGTCCCTGCCTACACAGCAGTCTGGCCAGAAACAAATATATTTCAGCCTGCTGCAGCGCTCCGAAAAGTAACTGAAGAGTACGGCAGTGGCTGAGAAAAGCAGATTTTGTCTTCTGTCTGATTGCTACTGTGCTTCCATGATGGATTGTGTGACATCTGTAACTTGCTTTATAAAAACATAAGGCACTGACCGCTCCAACCAAGGCAGCCAAGTAGCAGTCTGGCAGAAACCAAAGCCCGCCTTTCTTCAAAAATGACTTATCCAGAGATTTATAGCAAAGGGCCTAGTGAAGCATAGTTGCAAATACCGTATTTGCCGGCGTATGAGACGACTTTTTAGACTTAAAAACATCCCCCGAAAATCGGGTCGTCTTATACGCAGAGTATACGCTGGATGTGCAGTAATACTGTATGTACGGTAGCATCGGCTACATACATTATACCGCGCTGAGCCAATCACGGCGAGTGATGTATTCTATTAATGAATACAAAGCCTGCCGTGATTGGCTCAGCGCGGTATACTGTATGTAGCCGAAGCTACCGTACATACAGTATTACCGCACATCCAGCGGGCTGACAGATTAGCCTCCCTGGCGGTCTTTTTATTTTTTGTACTATATTTTTTTTTTGAACTTTTAAAATTCCCGCCGGTTCCGACCCCCTGCGACGCGGACGCTCGCAAGGGAGGTAACCCGGAAGACAGCGGGGATCAGGGACAAGGTAAGAGACTGTAATACCGAGTGTGGCTCGGGGTTACCGCTTGTGGTACTGAAAATTAACCACGAGCCACACTCGGGAATACCGCCATGGAAGTTAGTGGGTGTATTTAAATATTATTTGGGGCTATGCTCGTCTTATACGACCAGTATAGCCCAAAACCTATGTTTTAACAGAAAAATTAGGGGGTCGTCTTATACGCACAGTCGCTATATACGGCGGCAAATACGGTAGCTGAAGCAGGTGGGGCTTTGATTTCAGCCAGATTGTTGCTCTGTTGCGTTGATGGAGCTGTCAGCTTCTTATATATAGCAAGCTACAGTCCCTGCACTCTCCCTCAGGGTAGCACTCTGCAGAGGACAGTTTGTCTTTGTTTCACTGCTCACCTAAAAGATTGGTGCATTTTGCATGTGCAGATATACTGAGGCAGGGGGTGAGAAAGGGGTACAGGAGGATGGTGGTGGATGGAGTTGAGCAGCTGGGTAGAGACAGGCAGGCAAAACCTGTCTTCATTTTAATGAACTCGACCGAAGTACCCACCCAAATTACTGAAAAACAACATGGAAACATTGTTAGGATGGGTCACCATGATACTCATACCCCTGCTTCACAGGTGTCCGGTACCCCGGACAGGCAAATGATGGGTAGAAAGCCTCTGAAGGGTGACTTCGGGAGAGGTTAACTGAACAGTGCAAAGAAAATCTTTTATCACAGGACACAGGATAAAAAGGTAAAAAAAAATAACCTACATCCATGTTGAAACCTATTTTTGCTTGGGGAAGATCTTTAATGCAGTGTGTGTTGTTTTTAAGCTTTGTATGCAGTATTTTTTTTTTTGTGCCTATAGCTTAGAAAAAGCTAGTCCATATTTATCCATTAGTCCATATTTAATGGTTTCTAAAAATGTTATCCTGACTCCACAGCATGTACTAAGAACATCTACTGTGTAATTTTTAGGTCTTTCTAAAGTTTGTTTTTTTCTTTTTTTCTTTTAGTTGCATCCGAGAGAAGATGCCTGCAGCCCGGACGCCAATTATGGTGTTTTGCTAATAGAGTTTTTTGAGCTCTATGGGAGGCATTTTAACTACTTAAAAACTGGAATACGCATAAAAGATGGTGGCTCATATGTAGCTAAAGACGAGGTACAAAAAAGTATGTTAGATGGGTACAGGCCATCAATGCTATACATTGAAGATCCATTGCAGCCTGGTAAGTGCATGACTCCTTCTAATACTCCACATACATAAACCGATGCGTGAAGCTGCTTTTGTGTGCATTTTTCCTCTGTATTTTCTTAAACTAGAGCTCACAGCAGCATTATTTTAAAATCTAGAGTTTAATAGATTTTCTCTTTCTCCAAGGCAATGATGTTGGTCGAAGTTCATATGGAGCTATGCAGGTGAAACAGGCCTTTGATTATGCATATGTTGTCTTAAGCCACGCAGTGTCACCAATAGCCAAGTATTACCCGAACAATGAATCTGAAAGGTAAGTGTCTTGTTTTTTGTGTATAGATATGTAAACCAAACAACCAATTTATTTGATTTTTTTTAAAATAAATAACGTGCAAGAAAAAAGGGAGGGTCCACAAGGGCCAATTAGTCGCACTTTACACAGAGTTTGGTTGTCCTTGAGAACCCCCCAGGTTCTCTTAGATGCCTGAAATGTTGGACCACACATTCTTATTCACATGGAGGTTTTCACCAGAGTTCTCGTATTTTGCTCCAAACTGTCACCCCCATGCTTGCTTCGTTTTGGTATTCTCAGTGTTTAGACTGGGTTCACACCATTTTCTGGACTAGATCTGGAGCGCAGTGCATCGCATTTTTAACATGATTTTTGCCTCGTTCCGAAGCTGTTTTTTTTTTTTTTGTTTTTTTTAGTTTAGAATGGGCTTTCAGGTGCATTTTAATGCATTTTTGATGCAATTCTATGCATTCTAGTGCAATCCAGACAAAATGAGACATACAGTATTTTTCTGGTATGGCCATCCATCTGTTGGGTAGGAGAGAACAGTGTTCAGGCAATTGGCGGAGCCCAAATACAACATTACGGCGTCAAGGGAGACTCTGAGAAGAGGAGGTAGTCGTGCCAATAGAACCATCATTTATTGAATTTAGCTTCCTGGTGATGCAAAGAAACTGTCATGCATTCCATCTTCTGCTCCCGAACATTCAAGATCCACATGGCAATTGTTGGAGCTGTGGTCGTTTCCCAAAGCAAGGGGATGCACATTTTAGCTGAATTTAGAAGGTGTATCTGTAGGGATACCTGTTCCGTGAGAGGGCAGACAAGTGGAGAAGGATAGCAGCCAGGTCATTCTTAAGATCAATCCCAGTCAGTTTTATTTATATATAAATAAAACTATATATATATAAAAGCTATATATATATAGCTTTTATACTAGCCCAGAAATTCCACAGGCGTGGGCAGGACCAAAAGATATGTAGCAAAGAGCCCTCCATCTCATTACAGCGCCAGCAAGTGTGAGGCCAGATCTTATGTACAATGGAGGAAACCCTATACCAGCGTGTAAGTAGTTTGTAGTTCGCTTCCTGTGTTTTACAAGCAGCGGAGGCTTTGTGAGAAATATAGGATGTCTGCCCGTTGTTCTGTCGATAGAGCTAGCTGCAGGTCCCGTTCCTATTTAGGGAGAAATGGAGGCACATATGAGTCGGCGGGAGTTATGAGTAGTTTGTTCACCCTGGATGGCTAGGTGTCAGAAATTTGAATATATACTGCAGCATTTAAAATTTGGCATCACCTAGAAATGTTCTTTTGTTTTTTTGGTAGCAGCTGATAATATCATTTTACAAATGTAGCATTAGATTGAATTGAAATTCCAGTCAATATAACCAGAGGTTATTTTGCACTAGAAAAGGGTTTGAGTTGCTGCCCTTTTGTGGTTAAAGCTAAAAAATGGCTTTTTCATTTAAAGATTATTTAGCAACTTGGTCTGTCCCCATCTCTCAAAACTCACTGGTGGGTTTTTTTTTTTTTGTGTACAACACTTGCCACACTTGGGACTCTAGTTGACTGGGGGATAGATGTATCCGTGAGAATGCTGCTCCATTCTCTTTATTTTATCAAGGGCTATGTGATGTCTTTTTCTGGTAACTTTGTGTGCCTAAAATCCTATGTGCTATACAACAGTAGTGTTTGTGTACTCTTCTGATGGACACTGCTTTTTACCTGAACTCCTATTTGAATCTCCCGCTGCTTATCCTTCTCGGGCCAGGCCTTGATGACAAAGTATGAAGAGTTCTTTCAAACATACGCAGCTCAGTGCTCCTTGAAGGACTGCCGTTGTCACCTGTTTCCAGTACTGTGCAGCTGGGAGATGCATTCATAGCTCCATTAGAGCAGTTTACAATCAGCAGTGGAGCATTGTGGCTCAGTTTGTTCTGCCTGCATCAGCCATGTTTTTACCTACAACAGCCTGCTCTTAGGAACACATTTACTTACAACAAGCACAACCTGTGGCTATTGCGTTCCGCCTGCAGTGAAAGTGGTTACACAGCCATATTTGTGCAGCTGGTCCAGGAGTGTTTCTGGGGGAGAGTGAGGTATTTTGCTTCCTTATTAGGGGCAACCAATTTTAGTAGCATGTCTGGCACTATATGGAAGGGTGGCTTCTCTACAGCTTCAGAGGATCAACCAACGGAGAGCCATGTTTGCGCTGTGTGCAAGTTTGAGCGTGTCAGTGAAGGATTGCCTCTTCTGCTTTTCCTGTAGATCCTTGTTTGGACTGCCATCATTGGTGGCTATTTCTGACACCCTCCCTCTTATCTTCAGCCTCTACCCAGACCTGTTATCTCAAGGACTGATCTTCCACCTTGTTCGCTAGTTTTGGATTCAATAACCCCAATCATGCTTAAAACTTTTTGTATCTGCTACTTGTAAAGCTCATCATCGAATGTGATATACTTTTTATCACTAGCGTGGTGTTTTCACACATTTTCTTTTGGGAGTAGAACAAAGCTTTGCCCTTAATATACCATCAAGGTCAGATGTCTGCTCTGTTCTTTATTTAAATTTCCTCCTGTTTAATAATTCACTGATTTTTGTACTTTCATTTCATCTTGCATAAAGACAAGATTGTCTTGAGACCAAAGGCCTTCTTTTAACACAGATTGCTCTTTGCTTTTCACCTTAATGAGGGTATTGTGTTCCCTTTCTTGTAGAAAAGAAATGATTTTCTCTGAGTCTATGGAAGGACCCAGCTCACTCCCCTAATGCTGTATACTTTTCTTTCTTGCTTGCTACAACTGAGAAGGTGTGAAGTGGGCGAGGTGATATAACCTTTAGGGGGCTGGCCTTTAGTTTACTACATGCCTAGTGTCCATTTCTCCCATGGATGGCATTATAACCTAGGTTGCTTCATTTCAAGCTGTGTCCCTCACTGTACTCTGAAAAAAGTATTTTACAGTATGTACAGAATCCTGTTCCTGTTACCTTTTTTATAACGGTAAAATCAAATGATAAATGCTTAATGATTTTGAACTTATGAATGCCAGTGTACATAGAGACGTCATTCCTATGTGAAGGCCATCAATCATTTAGGCCAATGATAATGTGCTGCCCAGAGGAATTAATGGTGAGTCTACTGTGCATGCGCAGCCATGTCAGGAAAGTTTCCATGAAGGTCCCTGTGGATCGTGCAGTTAAGTAACGGGCTAGAAGGGCTTACTATGGGGGTAGGGGTGCTGCATTTTAGGGATTAAGTAAATAATTGTTAAACTCTTATTTGCACACAATTACAAATTGATATATGCACAAAAGTGTTTATGTAAACAGTTATGATTTTAACATTAATCAATAGCGGTGAGAAAGTCATCTGGCATGTTAGCAGCTCAGTTTAACCCAGCTAAATCCTAAGCGAAGAAGGCTTTCTTACTTTACATAAGTACATGTTTAAGGACATATGTATGATTTGTTAGATTGCTTCTAAGCTTTAAGACTTTGAATAAATTATATCTTAAGCATAGTGGTTTGTTCAAATGTGCATTAGACATGTAAACAGTGTGCACATCTATTTTACAGCATATTAGGGCGTATCATTCGAGTAACTGAAGAAGTGGTGGCTTACAGAGACTGGATATCAAAGAAATGGGGGCAGAAAAATAGATCTGAACCAGTGTACAATGGTAAGAAAGCTTTCTTTTTATAGTTTCTTCAAAGTTGCTGATAATTTTCTCACAATAATATTTATTGACAATTTGATCCTGTTTGTTATTTTTCCTTGAATTTCAAAATTGTGGAATTGTTTTAAAATTAAGTTTTTGTCTGACATCACACGTACAGTAATTTTGTCATGTTTTCCTTGCAATGGCATATTAGATATGTGGCCAGGATTTGCAGTTGAGAGCAAACACAAAGAATGCGAATATTTAAAAGGGTTGTTGCGTTTCGATATAATATGTGCAAGAGAATATTGGCTGCTGAAACAATCTATCGTCCTGTCAGCTGAAATATGTCAAGGTTTTTCTGAGTCATACTGTCACCTTTTAAAGAAGAATTCTGGGCATAAATATTCTTATCCCTTCCAGTAGGGCTACCCCCACATACACAAGGATTAAGTGCTCATTTTTATATAGGGACGAAAACATTCCCCATTAGACTTACCCGGAATGGTATTTCTTGGAATCTTCCAGGACAGCGACCTGGGAGATGATTTGGTTTCTCTCTCTACATTAAGCACAATTAGAACCGTTTAAAAATCCCTCCCACATCCCTCAGTTGAGATTAAAGTTGACTACCTCCACCAGTGCATGAGGGAAACAAAGACCATGTAAACAACAAAAAGAAATGAGTGGGAAGTAGGCTTGCTGTCCCGGAAGATTCCTAGAAATACCATTACCAGTAAGTCTCTAACAGGGAATTTCCCTAATCTTCCAGGTCAGTAACCTGAGAGGAGAAGCAAGAAATAAACAAGCCTAGATCAGGGTGGGACCACTACTGTACCTGTAGAACTTTACCGCTGAACACTTGTCCTAGTCTTGTTGCAAGCACACCTTCACTTACCGAGATAGACAAAGGTAACCTAACTGACACAATAGCCGCTCTGCAGATTTGCTCCAGTGAGGCTCCCACCTTTCCTTTCATGATTTTACAATATCTGACAGAATGTGCCTTCAATGAAGAGGGAACCTGCAGTGCTTCTTTAAAAACAAAAGATATAGCCTGTTTATATTCATCTGACAACTCTGATCTAGATATATGAGCCCCTTTCTGGTTTGATCCTCTGAAGTCCCAAGTAGCACTGAGAAAGCTGAAGAGGCTTCTACCAGCAGCTAAAGAATGGAACTTCTCTACCTTTTGGGATTTAGGGTTATAGCAGAAGAAATGCATAACAACTTCCTGGTTTCTATGAAATAAGTGGCTACCTTCAGTATATACTCAAGGTCTGGCTCAGTATCGCTCTGGGAAAAAGAGAACTGATGCAAAAATATCTTAAGAGGTGCGTGCCCAGATAGCAAAAAGGTGGAACCCTGTTCAAAGTCTATGGACTTGAAGAATAAGCTGCCTATGCTCCCTATAATGGTGAAGAAGAGGCAGGCAGTGCTTTACAGGAAACCTCAGGGATGACGGACAGAGTCAGCCTGAAGGAGAAACCGGGTCAAAAAAGATACATTAACAGCTCATATCACATTAAGAAAAATTAAAAAACATTAGGAAAAATTAAAAAGAGCCGGAAGGATCAGGATGGGACCACATGTAGTCACAGGTTACTGTACTGATGGAACTATGTGAGAAAATCCCTGAACAAAGGCTTACACCAAAAAAGAAGCAAGCGTACGAAGAAAAAGAATCCCCAGCAGAGATCTGGCCTTTGAAGGTACTAAAGTCCAAATGTTGGTCCAGACCTGACAGGAGGAAAGTCGGGATGAGTTCCTTCGAGAACTCCCTGTAATGAAATTTCCCAGCCTTGCACCATAGGAACTACTCCTATGATGAAAGGTGGTAGATTCTTAACTTTGACGAGTGTAGGAATAACTGAATCAGATAGGTCCTTCTCGTTGAGGACCTGGGTTGCAAAAATAAAGTTGAAAATCCAGCCTGAAAAACAGCTCCTTGAACAGAAGATCCAGGTAATGTGGGCGGTGCATTGAGAATCGACGGAATGTCCTCCATCTTGTTCATGCGAAGCAGATGACAGTGTCAAAGGTGGATCAGGATGAACCTCCCCCACAGAGTCACCAGAGCATGTACGGTGAAGGCTAAAGAATTCCTGGACCTGGAGACTTACCGGCTCAATAGCTGTTGAGCCTGGAGACAAAGTCAACCTCCAGCGTGCCTCGCCTGCGACAGGTTTTGACCTTGTGATGGACTCCATTCTCTAAATTCTAGGAATAGACAACTAAGGAAGTCCACCTGTCAATCTTTCACAACTGGAATGTCCCCAGTGGACTGTCCTGAGACACAGTGCCATACTAGTAAGAATATGGTCAGCTAGGCTACATTCACACTTGCCACTTGCGTTTTTTCTGCTCTATGTACAGAGAAAAAAAACAGAAGCTGTTTTTTTTGCTTCTGGATGCGTTACATGATGCACTCTTATGTTTATTTAAATGCGTATAGATGCATCTGGTACCTAGCATCAAATCTTGTTGACATGCGTTTTGATGTCAAAGTTCAAATCAATTCCCAGATGCACCTGACTATTTTTTCTGAACGCACATAAAAAAACCTGCAGATAAAAGCATCCAAACACAATGTGTGCCAGATCCATTGGAAAGCATTAGATGCATGTTCACAAAAGCTTTCTGATAGCATATAAATGAAAGCGGGAAAACCAAGAGTTTGCAGCCATGTCTTGAGTGAAGAGAAGCATGGGGACGGCTTCCCTGCTAATCGGGAAGCCAGGTGGCGAGAATTTACATGCTACGCGGCTTCCCGACTAATCAGGAAGCCAGGTGGCGAGTCATTACATGCCACCTGGCTTCCTGAATTGGACTTCTGATGCTCGGTATTTGGTATCAGCGAGTACTGAAAAACAAATATTGGTACTCAATATATACCGGTATCGGTGCATTCCTACAATATACACATAATAAGGCCCCATTCATATCTGTAGGTTTAGGTGCGATTAGGGATTCCTGCGTCAGAAACTTGTGTTTTCCTGTTTTACAAGTGACAGCTGTCATCTATTCAAGTTAATGATCAGGTGATAGCATTTGCATGTTAACACCCGCACACCTCATGTAATGTATGTGATATTACATGTGTTTAGGAAACACTCTCCCTGGTTGCACAATCATTGCATCCAGGGAGAGTGATTGGTTCCTAACCGAATGTAATATCACGTATCATTACATGCGGTGTGCAGGCGTTTACATGCCACTCCTGTCACCTGATAATTAACTTGAATAGGTGACAGCTGCTCCTGCAAGTCTGGTACGCGGTCCTTGACCACGTACCAGACTTGTGAGCTGGCTGCGGGCTATATAGTATCGGCTCTCGGGTCGGTACTTTGAGACCACTGGTGTAGGGGCTAAATATATATATATATTTCCCATAACGTCTTCCAGGACAGCATCACGAGATGGAATCTCCTCCCCCACACACAGGAAACACGTCACTTAATCTGCTTAAAAGACCCTCCTCTCCTCCACTCCCTCAGTCTTTTGTGTTTCCTCAGTCAAGCTGGGGAGCGCGTCACAGAACGCTGAGAGAGGGCTTCCATGTGGTGATGCTGCCCGGGAAGTCTTCCTTGTTGGCCTGCCTGTGTAAGGCAGAGGGGTAGGTTTGCCTACCTTGTGGAGCCCCAGGGATTCTCCTAGCGCTGCAGGAGATGAGGCTGGCTTCCTTTCCCCCTTCAGTGCCCAGTGCGGGCCGGTACCGGGAGGGCGAAACCCCCTTGGCTGGTCAGGGGAAGCGGTGGACCGCCGTTCAGAGGGGTCTGTCCGGTTCTCAGGGCCTCGGGACGTGTTCCACGGCCAGGCCGGGTGGCCGCGTACGTCACTTCCGGCGTGGGTGACGTCATTTCCGGGCGCCGGGCTTGTGCGTTCCAAGCCTCGTTTTCGGCGCAGGAGGAAGGGGAGGGCTCGGCTGGTGCTTAATACAGCGTGGATCTCAGTAGTGACTGAGAGGAAACGCTGGCAGGCTTCTCTTCAACAGGCTCTGCAGACATGGATCCTGGGTCTGGCTCTTCTCCAGACTCCGGTGGTTTAAGCCTTGCTGACATCATCTGCGTCTAATGCAAGTGAATAAATGTCAAGGGACATACTACAGTCATAGCGGAGGGGGGAGAGAGGTAAGCATTTACTGCCGCAGGACTGAGGATCTATATTCTCAGTTCTGATTAGTAGATGAGCATATCCATGTTCTGGCCCCTAGAGAAAAAATAGCAGTACGGGGGAAGCCCCCACTTCACTTCAAGAATTAACTTTTGAAATCACTGTTCTATGCCAGCAGGGGACAGAATCATTTTTGCCAGGTTTTATCTGGTAAAGCAAGACTGGGCCATTGGGCTAGCCTTATACTGCTTTAATAAATGTAGAAATAAATGTTTTCATCTTGGTAGTTGGATTATCAGTCATATTATCAGAGCCTCTTTTTCCTGTCTGAAGATGGGGCAAGTATAGTTTTTGTGTCATATGTCTTGGTTTTATTCAGATGAAGTAATGTTTCTTTTTGCATTTAATCATGTCTAGGCAATGATGTGACCCTAATAGTGGATGTCCATCATTTAGACAAATGTAACAACAATGTGTCGGGTCAGAATACCTCTACTGGACAAGTCAAGAATAAAACCCCTGAAGCTCTTGGCAAACACTCCTCCAATTCATCTGGTCCTTTGTCTTCCTCTTCTTCAACACTATCCAGCTCTAGTGATGTGGTAAGTCAAGCTACATTTGGTTTGCTCATGTAAATCAGTCTTGTCAATATGTTATGTGCTTGCATGATGGTTGAGCGAAATATTTAAGTTTTTAGCAAATTATTATTTCTGCACTATAGAGTGATTTTTAAATTGCTTATGCTCACCTTAAAGGCTTGGTTTCTAATGGCCTTTGTTAGTACTTTTATTTTTAATATATTTTTTGCTGATCAGACCTCGGCTTTCCTTTTAAATGGGGTTTCCACTTTCAAATTGTTTTACTCAACCTGTCCATTGAAGACATCATTTTAGGTCCCTGTTACCAACTAATGATTGCTCCTGTTAAAAAGCTGTAGATTACAGTGCCGGTTTGTACAGTTTGCTGACCGCAAAGGCTTTAAGCATGCTCCTGCGCTTTCCCCTGCAGAGTCGAGCTCAGATTTCCTTGTGAATGTACCGTATTTGCCGGCGTATAAGACGACCCCCTACTTTTTGTGTTAAAATATAGGTTTTGGGCTATACTCGTCGTATAAGACGAGTATAGCCCAAAATAATGTTTAAATGCACTTGCTAACCTCCCTGGCTGTATTCCCGAGTGTGGCTCGGGGTTAATTTTCAGTACCATAAGTGGTAACCCCGAGCCACACTCGGGATTACAGTCCCTTACCTTGTCCCCGATCCTAATACAGGCTTTGTATTAATGAATACAAAGCCTGCCGTGATTGGCTCAGCATGGTGTACTGTATGTAGCCGAAGCTACATACAGTATACCGAAGTATACCCGGCGTATAAGACGACCTCCGATTTTCGGGCAGTGTTTTTGGGTCTAAAAACCCGTCTTATACGCCGGCATATACGGTAGATGAGGCCCAGCCAGCAGTTGCTGCCACCATTGCTTTTGAGGAATTACAGCTGTTTAGGCTTCTACTGATGCTGAGAGTACTATTCTGCATCTAGAAAATCATTTGTTTGTTAGAAACCTAAGTTTGGTAGATTCCCTACTCATGGAGTAGGGTACATCCAGGCTTTCTAAGTCTGGATTTCGGGGCAGTTTGCCCTTCAGTCATTCAGGCATGCAAAATGTTCCCCTTTAGGTTTACACACTTATCCCTTGTGCTCTCTTCAGCTGCTCACGCTCTACCCTCCTGTGCCTTTGCACAGATTAGCGGATATGCCCCTGTTCTTTTTGGGGTCTCCTGAACCCAGAGATTCTTGCTTTAGTTTCTGTCCCAGTTTGGCCTCAGGAGCTGTGTCCCATGCAGGGTCAGCTAGCACAGTACTTGGCTAATCAACGTCTCATCAGTCTCGCCTCACACACCGAGTGTTCCTCAGAGGGCTGACTACAGTGTCTTTTATAACCATTTTTTTTCCATTTTCATTTTAGTTACAGCTGATGTAAGCAGGTGGCTCTGTGGGTGGGAGCCCACTCGGTTTGGTACATGCTGCTGGGTCAGATATACACTGCCTGGCCAAAAAGAAGCCACACACTCTATGTAGTTGGACTGCCATTAACTTTGATTACGACATGCATTTGCCATGGCATCGCTTCGATAAGCTCATGCAATGTCACACTTATTTCAATCCAGCGTTGCATTCATTTTTCACCAAGACTTTATAGTGGTGATGGGAGAGTCGGACCACTGCGTAAAGCCTTCTCCAGCACATGCCAAATATTCTCAGTGGAGTTAAGGCCTGGACTCTGGTGGCCAATCCATGTCTATAAATGATGTCTCATGCTCCTTGAACCACTCTTTCACAATTTTAGCCAGATGAATCCTGGCATTGCCATCTTTGAATATGCCTGTGCCATCAGGGAAGAAAAAAATCCATTGATAAAAAAAACCCCCAAAAAACCCTTTCATTCAGTATAATCGGGTAGTCAGCTGACCTCATTTTTTGGGCCCTAGACCTGACCAACTGGAGCAACCCCAGATCATAACTTCCCCCACAAGCTTGTACAGTAGGCACTAGGCATGATGGGTGCATCACTACATCTGCTTTTCTTACCCTGATGCACCCATCACTCTAGAACAGGGTAAATATGGACTCCTCAGACCACATGACCTTTTCCCATTGCTGGAGAGTCCAATCTTTATGCTCCTTAGCAAATTGAAGTACAGAATAGCCTCGCTGATGAGGGGTTTTCTTAAGGCTACACAGCTGGTTAGTCCCAATCCCTTGAGTTCTCTTCATGTTGTGCGTGTGTGGAAATGCTTTTACTTCTGCATTTAAACATAGCCGTGAGTTCTACGCTTTATTTTATACGATTTGATTTTACCAAATGTTTTCAGTGATCTCCGATCACAGTCCAAGATTTTTTTTTCCGATCACATTTCTTCATAGCGGATGATGTTTCACCACTATCCTTCCAGGTTTTAGTTTTGCGTTGGACAGTTCTTAACCCCTTCTTAACCCATTGTATGTTAATTAGAGGGAGATCAGTCTGTCCCAAGTCTTCCTATTAGGAGAGTCATAGTTTCCGGTTACTGAAATCAAGAGAAGTTTGCAAAGGCCTGCTAAATAGGGATGTATAAAATGTAATATTTTAAAATATGACTTTAGATATACTGTGTGACTAGGAAGACATAACAAACATATAGAGCGGTTTACTAGAGGTAGGATAGTGTGACTCTATTGTTTCCTGCCCTTTGATGACTAGGCTCTGGTGTTTGACTCATGGATGCTGTTTTAGGAATAAGAATATTCTGTTCTCAGATTCAACTTTACTATACCTGAGAAGGAAACACATCAGATCCACATTCTGTTCCTTAGAAAGTAAATATAATTAAAAACAAAGTAAACCAATAATTAATCCAATCTCATAATCCCCTTTTGAAGGTGGACAACCCCTTTTAAGGTTCGCAAATTTCAAAATGGTAGTCAAGCAGCATTTTGCATGTTACGACAATGAAAGTTTTGTGTACTGTATGAGGGCTGCTGCATAACCAGCAGTGTCAAATCTCCTTGCATGACACGCCACGTGTCTCCCGTAGAAGAAAGTCATTAAACGTCTATGCATTCAGGACTCAGACGGAACCCCATTCAAGACATCAAAGCAGCCAAGTTGTCGTCAAGCAAATGATAGTCGGATGGGCCTTCAGGAATCCTGCACCAGCTCAACACAACCCATCAGCAAACCACAGCTTAACCAGAGCATTAGTTCTTCAAACAGCAACAACAGAGCTCAGGTATGTAGAATGAATTTGCTTAGCAAGGGACATGAATTTATTCCACAGGTGTGTTGAACTGGGAGATTTGTGTTATACACATTAAATGCATTTCTAGTTTAAATGGTAATTTCTTGCCTTGCACCTTTCCCGATTTTAAAGTGTATGTAAACCCAAGAACAAAACTGTAAGTGGAGTGGTTCGGTCTTTAGACATGGTGGCTGCACTATTATTCTTTTATTTCACTTTTTAATCATGCTAGTAACCCTTCCGAGGTGACAGTGCTCACTCATCATGCTGTATCTATGGAGAGCTGGACTTTTTACTCTACGACCGGCATTGTTTCAGGATTACAGAAAACCTCTCCCTTTCCTCTTCTCCATAATAGTTGCAGTGTTCTGTAGTCCACAAAGAGAGCTGACAACAATACTATCTGCAAACAATAGTCAGCGGCATAAGCACTAAGTTATTGGCTCAGAAGATTTCTGGCAGGATCAGCAGGTCATTTCTTGCAGCAATTCACCCTTACACTAAACACTTTTACTAGTATATTTAAAGTGTATGTGTAGAGAACTTTTTTTATTTTGGTTGGAGTATGGAAGGAATAGAACCCCTCTCACAGTTTATTGCAGTTTGAGTTTACATACACTTTAAAGAACAACAACTCCAGGAAGAAATATTCTTAGCCCTTACCGTGGGGCTTCCCCCCGCATTGCAAAAAAAGATACACTCGCCTGAATCTTGGAGCCAGCTGTCTGCTTGGCTGGTCCCTGCAGCCGGTCCCCAGCGATGAATGACTTTCAGTGTCTTCATGTCATATACACTCTATCAGTCTAGCAGCCAGCAAGCTCTGTGTTTCAGGTGAGTATATCTTTTTTTTCTTCATAATTTATTTTTTTGGCCCTAGACAAAACGAGTGCTTAACCTTTGCAGTGTGGGGGTAGCCCCACTGCAAGGGTTAAAAATATTTATGCACTGAGTTTTTCTATAACATGGAGATGTCCCTTAATTCTTTATCCAGTGGCAGAAAGTTTGCTGAGATGCACAGATGTGTTCCTGTAAACACAGAAATGTACAGAAAATTACGTAATTCAAGCTCCATGTGTTGTAAAACCCTGATGAAGTGTGCAGTCGGTCACTGCTGACCTTGTTTTTCCATGCTGATCCAGTGGCTTCAGCACTCTCACTGACCCTGAACAACAATATGGAGGATTTTTTTTTCTCTCTGGCTTGAGTTCTTTTCCAGCAGGGTGTCCCAAAGTATTAAATCCAGAAACTGCCAGGCAACTAGTATTTTCAACAGTAGCAGCCCCATTATTTCTTTATACCTGTTTCTTCTAATTGAAAGGTACGAATGCAAGAACAAATTTGACTGAATATAGTCAATACCCACATCACTATTGCTCAGTGTTACTCTCTTATGCACCAGAAGGCAGCTGTAACCACACTCCTGCACTTTTTACTGGGAGACAATATTGTTATGTATAGTAAAATTATAACTTTTTTTGCCAGGTAATTCTGAAATGTTACATTTGAAGGTTTCATAGGTACCACTGGCAACATGCAGATAGCAAGCATAAGGTCCCTTTCACATGGTCCGAATGGGTCTTCCTGTCACTTTTTCAGGCGGACCCGATCGGATGCTCAAGATTTAATACAATTTTAAATTGTTTAAAAACCATTACAGTTTCCCTTTAGCTTTACCGCCTTTGAACATGAAGAAATAAACCTAGGCAGATAAGTACTTAGGGATAGAAAGAACAAATGGAAGTGTTGATCGGTAGGAAATGTTTAACTGTAGAGGAATTGTGCATCTTCAACTATGAATGATCTTGATGGAACCTTCTGTGCAGGGTCATAATTTGACATTGTCCTGACCTTAGCAGAGTTAGGCCTGGTTCACACTAAGGTGTCCGTTTATTAAACCCAGAAGTTTTCTCCACATAGGAGTGTTATTTTATCCTTTCTCTAGAAACGTTTGAGCCTGTTGTGTGTGGCCAGTTTATCACAGTGATAGGTGGTGGTAGCAGCAGTGAGCCATCACTGTGATATCGGGATAAAAGACTGGAGAAAACAGCATGGAATGCTTTTTTTAGGGATGCGCACAGGAATTCATGGGAGGAAACCTATAATCCTGATAGGGTCATACGTTATTGCTCCCACATATCTGACTAAAAACACATGGAACACCCTATTTATTTATTTTTTGTATTCTAGAAAGCTTTTATTTTGCACAGTAAAAATATGATCTTTTTTTGTTCATTGCAAACAATTTAGTATTAACCCCTGCAGCTATAGAACTAACGGCTTGCTGACAACATGTGCATTGATCAGCTAGATCAACACAGGCTCATGTCCAATGCAGGCTCAACACAAGTACAAAGAGAAAACAGTTGTATATAAAAGTCCTATAGGTCATAGAGAGTGTAGACGGTGAGGTGTAATGAGTTGCAAAATGCCCTATTGAATCCTTTACATCATGAGCAAGCCTACAATTATGCATGAAAATGTGTCAAACGGTCACTTCCTGGCTTTTTCACCAAAAAAAGGCCTTTATCCCCATGTCTGAAGTAGCAATAAATCTAGGGGACTTTTCTCAACACTTTTCACAGTGATGAAGCGCTTTCCTACTTTTCACCATTTTTTAAACATACATTGCTGTTATTCTCTGTGTACTCATCACCGTGAAGAGAAAATATTCGATTTTCAGTTCCTACCTGACTTATTACGGTTTATTAAACACCACTTTAGAGACTTTTCACTGTGATACGGTGAGAAGAGTCTTATCACACTATTTTCACAGTTTATTAAACGTACACCTTAGTGTATTGTCGCAGCTGAATAAGCGCGTCACAATGCTTTACAAAAAATATCGCTTTCATTCTTCTGACCTCTGTTCACATCTGAGCGTTTTGTCTCAATTGGCAAAATTGCTTGAAAAAGTACATGAGCCAGTGTGAATGAGGACTTAGAGCTGTGAAAATGTGGAACAGACTCCCCCAGGAGCTAGTTCTAGCTAGCTCAGTTAATTGTTTTTAAAAACAATCAGGATGTATTCCTAAATGCACAGAATATTACTAGATATTGAGTTATTATAGGTATATTAAGCATCGGAGATTGTTGTTCCAGGGAATATCCGATTGTCGTATGGGATCAGGAAGGAATTTTTCCCTGTTGGAGCTAATTGAACCATGCTTTATAGGGGGGGTTGCCTTCATCTGGATCAACAGTGGGTAATTGTGGGCATAGCTTTCTGTTTTAGGCTTTTTCTTTTTTTTTTTTATTATATATCTCTATAGCTTGAACTCGATGGACATCTGTCTTCTTTCAACCTGACTATGTAACTTTGTAGCCGCAGGCTGGGTTCACACTTGGGCAACAGCATTTTGTGCGCATTTCTATGCAGGTTTTTGCGCAATTTGTGTATGGTTAATGCGCATAAATCAAGTTGCACGTTTTTCGTGAGTAGGACTAGGGGGCCAAAAGGAGCTGTAATATGCCAAAAAAAAAAGCTCATGTACTTTTTCCAGTGACTGGCATTTTGCTTTTTGCAACAAAACATGATTGTTGATATGAACAGGGCCATAGAAATGAATGGGATTTTTTTTGGGGTGGGGCTTATTTTTTGAGCGTTTATTTTTAGGGCAGAAAAAGCACTACAAAACACTCATTGTGAACAAGGCCTTAGGGCTCATGCAAGTGGCTGTAAAAAAAAAAAACTACAAAAAAAACAGTATTTTTATAAATACAATTTATTTTTATTTTTTAAACTACGTAACTGAACTCCTGAATGCTACTATGCAGAGGGTTGTAGAGGGCAAATATGAAGACGACAGATTTTTACTCTTTTAAAAAAAAATTACTTTTTTATTACCCGGACTCGAGGTCTTTTAGTTATGGATACACCTGCGCTTTAGTATGTTTTGGAAATGTCCAATATCAGAACAGTTATCATCAGAACAACCAAACACAGAATCTACCTTTTGCCTCCCTCGTTTGCTATGAAGTTTTGGGTTATTCTTTTTGCAGTCTACTGAATGTTCTGGATAGGTAGTCGGGTCTAGTCTGCTTATTTGGCTTCATTGCCTAATCGAATAGTGGACAAGGTGACACTGGTTGTCACCATTGTTAAATTGGGAGCAGCTATCTAGAGTGTTTGCAACCTCAAAGATAGTTGAATTGTATTGCGTATTTTATGTCTTTGGTAGTTGTTACATTTGAGTCCAAGTGATACTTTATAGTGTTGAAGAATGATCAAATTGAAAGTTTTAAAATGGTATAAAGTAATAATTTATCCAAACCTAAATTCTAAGATGTGTACTTGACATATATTGGGGGGAATTTATCAAAATCTGGAGCAGATGTGCACTGCAGCCAATCGGCTTATTTTTCTCATTTCCAAATCTTTCCTGAGCAAACCGAAGAGATGCTGATTGGTTGTCATGGGCAACTGCGCCAGATTCTGTTTTCTCCAGTTTTTATAAATTCCCCTCGTAGTGAACAAAGTGGACCAATAAATTCTGCATGGATTAGGCTTTGCTGATGTTACTAAAAAAGAACTATAGCACTGTTACCGTTTAGGTGTGCACCCCATTAGGCCCCATGAGGGCACGGAGCTGTACGTGCAGGCTGATTCGTGTGTGAATGGGGCCTTTATAGTCTGTAGCTTGCCTCTGTGTTTTTCCACCAATCTAGATGGTGGTTTGGAGTGGAAATCACAATTAAATCCCAACTATAGGAAAATATAAACCCTCTCCCTTCCAGACTCCCACCCCCATCTATCTGATTGATGGCATGGGGGAAAAAACCTCCCAAATGCACTTTTTACTCGCCTAAAGCCTCAGTCAAGTGATGCTCCAGTCCCAAATCTCCTTTCCTTTTCTGTTTAAATGAGGCAGGGTCCTTCTTTGGGTCTCCATTTTACTGCCTGTGTGATGTGGACAATTTCTATTGGCTGTCCAGCAGCAGGGTCCTCTCAGGATCCAGAAAAGGAATGACATCAGCATAGGGGTCAATTAGAGACCGCTGCACCCGAAAACATCTCTGACAAGGGCCTCAGATTGTGTTGGGTCAGCCGCAGGGTGTTTTACAGGTTCAGAGAAGCAGCATATCCACTCTGGTTTAACCCCTGTCCCTGATGACCTTTCCGGTGGTACACTCATCTGAGAGGAGCTAAGCCAAGCTCACATTTGGGCCTGCTGATGCTGCGGGGAGTGGTCTCTGCAAGTGTAGTTCCCCTTCTTCCCCTTCTGACTCGCTGTCTGACACGGACTATGGCTACCGCATTTATGCTGTATGAGGAGGATGTGGAAGTGGAGGTTCGTTCCTCCTCAGACTCTGATGTTTCCTCTGCCTCTGTCCTCTACTGTATTCCAGTAAATTAATTTTATTACATAGTAGGTAAGGCTGATTACTCTGTATCTATGTGATCACTCTGTTTTCTCCTTTTGTCAAGATCCCAGTGTTGGATAAGAACATACAGGGGATTATGGAAAGCTGTGATTCATGTGCTTAAACTAGCTGTATTAAAAATCTTTCCCATTTTGTAATGCTGTCAGGCTGCATAAACAGTTGTAACTGTGGGCTCCTTTTTTATTTTAGCTCACCAAGGGTAAATACCCTGAGCTAGCAGCATGATGGAAAGCTGGGCCACAACTCAATATGGAGCAAAGTGGTCTGTGTCTTCCAGTGGTTCATAATGCCCAGTGCTCCAGTCAGTAATGCTGTTGTAACTAATGTAACATTATGGCCCCTTTCACATGGATTAATCAGGAGAGAATCTGTGCATGGATCCTCTCCTGATCAGAGCAGTACGGAGTGGATGTCACCGCTGTGGGAATCTGATGTAAATGGACATGTGTCAATTTATATCAGATTGCCCCTGATGCAGCACGTTCAGGTCTGGCAAAACGGATCTCTGATCCGTTTGTTTTCCGGACCTATCAGGCGTAAACCTGGAGTAAGCAGACGCCCGTCCGTTTACACGTGGCTGCCCACAGACTTACATTGGGCATGTGATCTGGTCCACCTGAAAAACTGACAGGCGGACCCGTTTGGACAGCCCGTGTGAAAGGGGCCTAACACTGTGGAATGGATAGGGCTTCCCAGATTCCTTGGACAGGACAGATTGTAGAAATTCATTGTATTTTCCTTTGATTTGCTGCATTGAGCCTTTCACTTTGGTAATATTTAAGGGTAGTGCACATTTGGAAGAATCTTCGGCGTTTCCTTATTAGAATGATGATGTGATTATTGAATACAGACCCTGCATCTTGGCTTTCACTTTAAAAGTACAGTGGTATGGTTATCGCAAATCCTTGACAATTATATCATTTATTTCGGGATCTTTTTAGGCAAAATCATGGTTTTATTTTAAGGGGCTCAATGGATTTATTCATCCATTCTACGCTATAGTTCAGTAGGATTCTCAAACCGCAGCCCACATTTTACAAACCCATTCATAAAATGCAGGCTGCTTTGTGTAGCTTGGATTGCCACAACGAGAGCTTCATGATTGGAGAGGAGAGCTGGTTGTGTGACTCTACAGGTCACATGACTGTGCTCTTGTCTCTGACATTTGTTTTTAATACTTCTGTTGCACTACTGGCTTAGTACTCCCAAGTCAGTAGAGAGCACAGTGGCCATTCTGCTGCTTTTTTTTAGTTAATATATTTTTATTTCAAAATACATAAAGATTTATATTGCATACATACATTTGTGGAGGGGGAAGGAAGTCCAAATGTTATTAATTAATCCCCCACATTCTGCTGCTTTTTAAATCTGCGTCTCAGAATGTATTTACTACTTTTCACTAAAAAGAAATCTGGAAAGGATAAATTCTTTTTCATGGCAATGTGTATTTGTGCATCAAGTCAGTCCCCAATATTGTGTTTTTGTAATGTACTTTATTTATCTCACTGTGAAAGTAGTTGTACTTTTTCTAGTCTGATCCATGTTGAAAGGGGTAAACCTGGTCATAGTTTACGCCGCCACCAAATTATTTCTCCAATTTCTTTTTCAGCATGGCACTACTAGACTTTTCCGTTCAACCTCGTCCAGCAAAAGCTTCCAGACTCCACCCAACATAAGCCAAGGCACATCTGTGCCAAGCCGGCACATACAGACCGGCAAAGCACAGCACCAGCACTACCACAGCAAGAAACGCAAGCACAAGCGGGAAACAGACCTGTGCAGATAGCTGCTTTTGGGCCGGACTTAACTCCTTCCTTAATGTGCCGCAACAGAATTAAATCTCGACAAACTTGTTCATATCCCTCCCAAAAGCTTATAAACATTTAAAACTGACTTGTTTCATTTTATTTTTGTTTTTCCCAGCTAGCCACGGAAATGGATCATGAAGATTTCCAACACGAAAAAAAAAAATCTCAAAAAGAAAACAAAATCTTAAAAAAAAGATAAAAATGGCTGCTCATTTGTTAAAATACATGGAGGTTATTAACAAAATATTTGCACTTCTCGATCGGCGCCATGGTGCTGAATTCTATGACTGAAATCAAGGGTTTTTGGGTAGAAACGTAAAAAAAATAACAAAAAAAAAATAAAAAAAGGAAAAGACTATTTCAGAAGGGGTGCAATTTGCATACCACCTCATTTCCGGGGAACTTTATTCCTGCATGGTTTTTTTTAATTATTTTCAATATTGTACTGTTTTATTGTACATACAACAGTATCTGATATTGCACTTTTGTATCAGTGCATTTGCTTTTTACATAAAAATTATAAGGAAAATCGGACTGGTTTGGGGTGATCTCTCCATGTCTTATGTGTTCATAACTTGCATTGAGATTAAGTTGGTTCTGGTCCCCAAAAAAGTCTTACCCAGTGGTTTCCCTCTTCATTTATGATTGATTTATACATTTTTATGCTTGAGATATTGCTTAAAGGCAGGTACCCACTGGCACACGATTAAGCACATATGTATCTATACAGAATTGAGTTCAATGTCAGCTTTGGATCTAGACTGTTAAAATGCATTTTGTGTTGATCTTCTCATTCATCCCATATAGTTGCCACTGTTTCTAGGGATTGTATCCACTGAAGGCATGACAGAGTGATATACCCCAGGGGGCTGTAAAACCATCACCACCTTGAAGGCTTTACGCATCTATAAAGAATTGCAGTCCAGATTCATTACATTTCACAATAGCTACAGTGTTTTAAGATTGATCTTGCCCAAGTTCACTTTTTTTTTTAATTTGGTTTATGCAGTAAATCCTTTTCACCAACCTTTCACCTGCAAATTTTGAAACCGCATTCTCAATAACTTCTGAGGTACTTTTCACATGTAAATGTGTGTTTTGCTAAAGGCTCTGTATTTTGATTGAAATACTGCAGGAATGGCAAGCAAATCACTTGTGCATTTCCTCATGTTACTTGTTCTTACTGCTATCCCACAATTCTTTTATTTGCTACTTAAACATGAGGGCTTCTAATTGCATGTAGGAATGACTACATCAATTTTTATTCTGGCATAAAATATTTTCAATGTATACAAGGCCAACTCTGCGTACACTTTAAAGCTCAATGATTTGCTTTGTCCCATCCATAAAGACTAGTAGCCTGACATTTTGCAGTCCACTGTACTGAACTTCCAGCATTGAAAGGTTGACCTGGTGCAAAAAAAAGGAGCTGCCATTTCTGACTTGTTTTTTGAGGTTAAAACTCTGGGGCTGTAATTAATTTTATGTATTTTGATATCAAATCTTTTAGTTTAGGTTTCAGGGACTTTGATTTGCTAGAGGCTGTAGCCCTGGAATGGATAAAAGGTAGGAAACACAGCCCTCTGAAGAGGCGAGTATAGGTGCTCTGCTGTTGCAGGGACCTGCCATTTAGGTTTTTTTTTTTCACAGGATCATATTAAATTACGGGTTATATTTTAGGCTTGGCTTGAGGCATATATTTCATTGTTATTTCAGAGGGTTAAGGTGAAATTAAACTCTGCTGCCCGTGCCCAGGGTTTTTGCAATAATGTGCCAGTATGCATAGCATATTTGCACATTATGGCAGACTAAACTGCCAAATTGCTTTGTCCCATTCCAGCTCTGCATCAGTCGTGGCATCCTGGGTGCTGCCGCTGACATCTTTACCCAGTCTCCTTTCAGGCTTGGTGTCTGGCCTTAATTGGCTGGACTGGGATGACTTGACTCCCATGTGCATCCTCGCACCTGGCATATGCCAGATTGTACACTGAACTGTGCATTTCAGTGTACATTCAGAAACCATATTGCTGGCACAGGCCAGACTTTATTTTTAAAGAGTCAGTCTGTACTGCAAAAAAAACCCCACTGCTTACCAGCAATTATTTTTAAACAGAAGTTTAGTTCCACTTTAAAGTGTTCACTTATTATTAGGTTAAGGTTACCTAGGGGAATTTCAAATTTCAGGTTTAGATTAGAGGGGAGGTTAATTGTTTAGTACATGTTTTCTTCTATTATGGACATTTTTATCAGACAGACTGATGATTATTATCTATACTGCCTCTTAGCCAGCAGAAGTTGCTTTTAGGCTCCCTTTCACATTTTGGTCAGTCTCTATTGCTCCCCTTTTTTCTAAATGTATGTTTTATATAGCTAGAGAAAGCTGAACAAGTAAATGAGTCAATGGTTCATTTTAGGGCATTGGGCGGTTAGTTAATATTGTGGTGCCAAAAACTGACATATTATATGCCCTGATGATTCATTGACCGTATGCTTTGTTGCTGGCCAGTGGATCATTAGTTAGTGAAGCACGGATAAGAAAGACTGGCTCACAAAACAAGTCAGCAATTCCATTTGAAGTATTTCAACCGGGACAGGTTTCTTGTAACTCCTTAAAATGTTAGATCTTTGTGCCATAATGTTTGCGCCATGGAACATTTGATTGTGCATTGGTATCTTCATGCAGGGCTTGCGCCTATATTTATGGTAGCCGTTGAGAACATGAAAAATGTAGAAAGGCAATCAAAACGATGTAATGATTTTGATAATCTGTCATTCATTGAATATATCCGTCAGACAAGTAGAGCCTTAAAAGCAGTGAAGAGTACATTTTTCATTAAAAATAACTCAAATTAAAAACCTCAGCAGAAAATGTGAATTATCTGTGTCCTATGACATTCTACGACTGTTAAATATGTATTTACAGTGTGCATATATTTTTGATTCTGTATATTGGATAGTTTGCGATCAAGCCTTTTAAGAGGAGGTACCACTAGCAATATAGGTTTAGTTCTGTAAAGTCAGTTTTGTCATGTAACTGGTTCCTGTAAATGCAGTAATCCATGAAAAAGGGCTCCCCAATGTGCTGAACCACTGTCATTGCCTCATGTTGTGGATATATACATATAATTTTATTTAAGGAACTAAATAAAACAAAACACCAATTGCAATTCACTGGCCTGCTTGTGAAATTGATATTTTTCTGCTTTACAGTAGCAAATGTCATTCATTTGTGAAAGCAGTGTTTTTCTTCCAGTATCCAGCCTCGTGCAGGATGTGGTGTTTTTTTGGTTTCTTTTAAGCTGCACTCTGAGCTAAGAAAAATAACCCTTTGTAGTGGTGAAGCTCCACCCCCTCACTGCAAAGGTTAAATACTCTAGGGGGAGATAAAGATAGCTAAACCCATGCCTCAGCACTCTGCTTTTCCCTGATGCATCAGGCTGTGGGCGGTACTCGTCATCGTCATGTACAATGGAATACTATTTTTCCAGCTTGGCATTGAACTTACACTTTGCCTACCCTGTGATGGTATATTTGAGCAAAATGTTTAATACGGACCTCCATCCTTACCTTCCATATTGCACAGATCTACACGCTCCTCTCCTGTACTGGAATTGCTTACCCTGATTTTTGCTGTACACTCTGAGCTTTCATCAGAGCTGAGGGATTTTTAGGAGTACTGAGGCAGGGTGCTGTAATGTTTTAAGTAAGCTATGTTCTGCAACCTTTGGACCCTCCCACCAGCTATGATCTGCCTACATTACATAGAGAAGCATAGAGACCTAGTGATGACATCACTGTGTCTATAATAAAAAAAAAAGTATGTAATCAAAATGGAAAGGTTTTAGGTTAAAAAAAAAGGCCAAATATAAGCAGTGTAAACTTTAAACTAGCTTTAAAGGGGAAGTGTACTTATATTAGCCATTTTAAAATATACAGGGATACTTGGTAATTTTTTTAATATAATCTCTTATGCCTTTTCATTATGTGCTCTTAAAGGTGCGGAGGCAGGCATAGTTTACATTCTGCCTCTCAGCCCTGTATACTGTACAAAACTGCATTGCTAAAAAACTAGTAAGGAGAGTAAAACGGCAAGGTATCCGCTCCACATATATGTTTGATTCAGTGTCTTAATTGCCAAGAACCAAAAAGGGCCTATTCACACCAATGCATTAGAACCCATAGTGAGGCAGAACGTGCAAAATCCCATTGTTTTAAATGGTGCGCATACCAATCCAAGTATGCACGTTGTGCAAAAATCTGGAGGCCTATTGACTTCCGCAAAAGCATATCTAAAAATGTGTATCAATATAAAAGTGCATGAAAAATCCCAAGAATTGGTATGAGCACATTCTAAATGTATTTATTCCATTCATGTACTCACTACATGAATGGATCAAAGAACTGTTGAAATGTCAGCTCTTCCATAAGGTTAGATAAGCAATAGGTTATCTGCTAATTTGTGACATTTCAGGAAAAATCGTTTTTATTTACACTCCCTGCACTACTAAGTGACCAGAAGGATTCTGTTACTTTTCAACGCAGTTTTGAGCTCCAAATTACCAACATTCCAGACAAGCGCACAGGGACACTTGATATTTCTAACATGAGATGCAATCTTTAAGATAAAGTAACACGCTAATTGTAAAATGGAACACAGCATTTCTTTACATGTGCTGTGTTTTATAAACATGCACACTCTTTAGATTACTCAACAAGTTTTACATTTGTTTCTTTAGAGGTATATGATCTTGTTTTGCTTTCTGCAGTTGCTAATGGTTTCATAGACCTAGCTGGATAGCTAACCCCACCCCACTTTGTGTGTGCTACAAATTGTTACAGGATTGCTGATTTATGGAAAATGGAGCAATAATGAAGCCATACCAGCCATTAACGAATCAGAATTCCTGTTTTGTTACATGACAGTCTTAAGCGATAATTTAAAAATGACCACCTTTCGTTGCCTGGAGAGATTTATTGCCCATTAGGCCCAAACTTTATTAGGTACTTCAGGTTTTTATGGAGTCATTTGATTATGCAGCCTTTTTAAATGAAACTTCAGTACCATTGTAGTTCTGTAACATGTTTTCCTTTGCTATAGCCGCAAATACCATTTGATACAGCGCTTGTCTCCCAGTATTCTGCGCTTTGGCTATTTGTCTCGCTTGCAGTTTATTTTTATTTTTTTGCTTTTAAT